ATTGCCTCCACCTTTGCTGCATCCGGTCTGACCCCCTCGCTAGAGATAGTGTGGCCTAAAAAATTAATTCGCGTTTGCCCCAGCAGGGACTTCTCGCTCGACAATTTCAGCCCGAATTGCCGCAGCCTTTCGAAAACTGATCTCAGATGCCCCACGTGTTCGGCTTCCGTTTTACTGAAGATGAGCAGGTCGTCCATGTACACTTGGCATACCGCGTCATCGATACCCCTCAAAAACTCGTCCATCAGACGTTGAAACGTGATGGGCGCGTTCTTCAGACCAAACGGCATTCTGGTGAACTCATAATGCCCCCTTTCAAACGTAAACGCCGTCTTATGTTGATCTTCTGGGTGCATCCGTATTTGGTGATATCCAGCTTTGAGGTCCAATGTGCTAAATACTACTGCCCCACTTAACCTATCGAGTATATCTTCGAATCTGGGGATCGGGTACTTCTCATCCAAATTATTGTCATTCAATTTCCGATAGTCTATTACTACCCTATATCTTTCCTTGTTATCCCCCGGCACTGCCTTCTTTTTCACCGCCCACAGGGGACTATTAAAGGGCGAGGTACTATCGACGATGATCCCTTGCTCCTTTAGGCTGTCTAATTCCTCCCAAATATGCTGCCTCAACGCCTGCGGGTATCTCCTTTCCTTCACGTAGATTACCCTATCTTGCTTCAGTGGCATTTCATGCACCGTCCTCCCCGTTATCCCCAATACCTCCCCTTCCCTGAAGAAAATATCTCTGAACTCAGTTTGTAGCGACTTCCTCCAGTCCTCTACCTTGTTCACCGCTCCTATCCGTACCCTTCTTTCTCTCGCGACCCCTACGCATTCAAACTTCCTCTTTCCCAGCCTAATACTCCAGGCTCCCCTATGGTTTCTGATGCTCGCCCCTACCTGCCCTAACAGATCGCACCCTACTATGACCTGGTATTCCCGTGTCATGTTCTCCACCACATGCACCCTTAGCTCACCCTCTTTCCCTGTCCACCGATCAAGCCCAATTATCGCCTCCCCCACTACGCTACAGGGACCACCCAGAGTGATCACCTGGCAGTCGCATTTCTGTATCCGGAGTACCCTCTCGCTCCCGCACACTTTCCCTAACGCCCTTCGGGTCATGATAGTGCTCGAGATACCCGTGTCCACAAGACACTTTACTCCCCCGTCTACTTCAATAATTGGCAACCAGCATGGCTTACCTCTGACACTGTTGCATGTTGCTGTGCGGTCGCCTCTCTGCTGACACACTCCTCAGATGTCGCCCCGCTTCCTCCTTTCTGCCGCCGCTCGTCGCTGCTCGCTCCGTTGGCTGCGCCTACCTCCTTCACCTCCGCTGCTGCCTGGTTCATCCGTCTCCGTTCCTGACGTTCCTGACTCCTCGGTTGCCTCCTCCGAAGATCCGTCCCTCTGCTGTACCCTAGCTAACACTGCGCTACTAAATGTCCCGGCTTCCCACACCCGTGACATTTTCTCTCTTCTCTCCGGGGCCCATTCCTCGGCCTCGACGACTGTCCGGATCTTCTTTCCCCCATCATGGCTTTTTCTCCACTCTGCTGCCTTGTGTCCCTCTTCCTCCAACCTGTCGGGGCTGTCCGTTGTCGTCTATCCGTCACTCGGATCCATCCCGGTTCCTCCACGTCCATCCGCGTCTCTTCCTCTCTTGCGCTTAGGTCGATCATCTCCTGGGCACATTCGAGGAACAATCGCTCCCAGGGCAGTCCGTCCCTCCTCCCCGTTTCCTTAGCCAGCTGGACTTTCAGTATTGTGGAAAGGAACTCCATCCTAGCTTCAACCTCTCCCACGCTCATCGTTTCCCGCATCTTCTCGGTTATGCGGTTGTACTTTGCAACGAGTACCCCCGCGTACTGTCCCCTCGTCTGTCGTTGGGACCGCCGCTCCCTAAACATTTGGAAGATGTCCTCTTCCGGCGTCCATCTACCTCCTCCGAAAGCTTTCTTCAATCGCTCCTTAATCACCGGCCATGGAGTTTCCTCGTCTGCTTGAATCTGATTCAGGACGTTCCTCCTTACCCGGCACACAAGAGCTGCTTTTAGCGCTTCTGCATCCCCAAGGTTCACCAGGTCCTCCGCCACCTTTACCTCGATTCTTGACATGAGGCGATCTCCGCCTTTCAAAAAATGGTTGAGCTCACCTACCTCGCCTCCGAAGCGTTCCAGGTCCGCAATGGCCCTCCGTAAGTCCTGCGTAGTTGTTGCCCTTATTTTCATCCATTCCAGGGCGTTGGCGTGCGCTTCTGCCAACGTGTCCCTTGGTAAGGGAGGAATCTCCTGGATCTGAGGGATCTGTGCTACCTTAGGGATTTGTGGTTTCTGAGGTACCTGAGGCGTGATCTGGGGTACCTGATTGATCTGAGGAATTTCCTGAGGTTGAGGAATTTCCGGTGCGCTTAATACTCCCGGTCTAATTAAGCCCTCGGTCGGCATCTCTCCTTTTCCTTATGGCTAAATACCAACAACAAAAAAAAAATTTATACTTAAAAAAAAATTACTTCCCTGACGTTTTCCCGAGTTTCGGCACCAGTTAAGCGTCGTCAGACTGGAAACATAAAAAAAAAAGAAGGAAAGGGATAGAGATGCAACACACACGGCTTCTGATAAAACACTGCTTTATTCAATCAGTAATTCTCCTTATATACATGTTTGTTTACATTGCCAGATGGTATTAAGGCTGATATCGCCAGTCTCCGGTCTTTATCTTATATATATATATATATATATATATAAGATAAAGAACATTGTTTTATATATAAATATGTATGTATATATAAAACAATAATTACTTAGGAAGATAAGAGAACGAAAAGTTATCTATTTGAAATGATGTTATGTGATTTTTGGAGCAAAATTAAATTAAAAAAATTAAACGAGCAATAATATTTTTAGAGATAATTTTTTTTTTAAATATTGATAAGACATGGTTATATTTATTAGCCATACCTACATTATAATTTAAAAAATAAAACTTAGTTCTGTACTATACAAAATGAAAATAAATTATTTTTCCATTTTGGGGAGCTTCAAGCTCTCTCCTGTCGATTTGACAGTGTCTTGATTAGAATCTAAATTTATGAACCATTCTAAATACTGAAGGAGCAAATAAAATATTTATCATTGAACCAATCTCCATTTAAAAATATGCTTTGTTTTTTTGAATTAATGAAGTAACTTATGAAATGTGAATTTCATTTATGATTTTAAATGGCTTACAAAGAACATTGTTAAAGAATCTCTGGTGCTGTAATTATGTGTAAACAAAGAACACATTAAAAACAAAAGTAAAGAAACCAGTGAAAAAAGAACACATCATTAATTTTTCCTTTGGCCTTAGACATTATTGTTTCTACTTTTGGTGCAATTTTAGTTTACTCATTCATTAAGGTCCCTGTTGACCTTGCCAAGATTCTTCCTCCTCCCTCCATGGACCAACCACAGAGCAGTTATTCTCAGATTATTGTTAAACTGACTGGCACTACAAACACACACAGTAAGATTTATACTGTATTCATGTTTTTTATCTTGTGTTTACAATATTGACAATTGTTTTGTTTAAATTATAGATAGTAATTTTATTAAATTTCGTTAATAAGCCTTATTTGATTTAGCTTTCATTTATTTTTATATTACATTATTTAAACTTAATAACTATCAAGATTAACAGAAAAGTGAAGATGATTTCAGTTTAGTACTATTTCGTAAACTACCATAATAATTTTTAAAATGAAATTTTGGTATTATATTTTAAGATACACACATTGCTTACCTATGTTCTTACTTATTTAATTTGGTAGATAATATTAGTTATATAATTCCTTTTTCCTTCTTCTTATTTTTCTATTTATTATGAATAAATGTAACTTAATATCGATGAAAATATTTACAACTCCTGAATAAAAAATTAATTTATAGCACTAAAAATTAATAGTTTATCGCTTTTATTAAATTTGCGTTAATAGTAAGTTTTAAACCTAAAAATACCAGGTGAATAATTAAGAGATTTTAATAAATTTTAAAGGATTAAGGTGTTTAAATGAAATACTACAAACATATGCTAATATTTATTTGTTTTATTATGTATACTATTATTATTATTTTAATATATTCAAGAATATTTTCATGGCTGAAAAATAAATTCCTTTCTATTCTTCATTAAATATAAAGATGAGTTTACACTGAAATGTTACCAGTAACATTGTTGCACTAGTGGATTCAGGATTTAATTTTGGGGGGGGCTTCAGCCCGGAAACTTTTTTTTTTTCATATATATAACGATAATTACTTTGGAAAAACAGAAATATACTAACTACCTATATGAAACGGTGTTTAAGTGATTACTTAAGTCCTATTAAATATAATTAAACGAGCATTAATACTTTAAGACATAATTTTTTAATATTTTTTACCATAAAACATATTTACATTTTACCATTTTGGGGGGAGGCTTCAGCCCGAAAGCCCCCTCCCCCCCGTAAATCCGCCTGTGCATTGTTGTTAATAATATTTTGATGTCTACTATTATCAAATAATAGTGACAATGCTTTTAATCATGTTTCTGGCAAAATTTTTTATTATTAAAAACAATTTGATGCCTACTTTATAGACCATTCAATAGTAAAATGTTAGTATTTTCAACGAATAAAGGCAGTAAAATAGAATGTTACTAACAAAAATCATTGACATGTTCGAACAATTTTTTTAAAACATGTTAATATCTTGGTTATCTCTATTGTAAACCAAATTGTAAATTTTTATTGATATATATTTGAAAATAATAAACCATTTGGTAATAAGTTTAAAAAAAAATTCACGCTATCTAATATAAAAAATGGATGGATGGAAAAAATTGGAAAAACGGAAAAAATCTTAATGAGTATTTACGTAACAGTTTTCGTAAGTTTGTTTTCTTTTTGGGGTTTTAATTTATCAGAATTCATAATCTTTGGCATTAGATTTGTTTCTTTCCGTATACATGGGCGCAATAATCAAAGTCGAAGATTACTCCAAGGTTGCCAACCCAGATCTGCAAGCAAACAGGTAAGCCATTAACGTGGAGTGAGGAAAAAGAAGAAGAAGAATTAAGAGTAAGAGAGAGACTGATGCTTGATAACTGAGTTGTGATCTATAATCAAATTTTGTTTAACCAAATAATCTATAATCAAATATAAATCTGTCATCTCATGAAATTTTGTTGCGTCATATCCACTTGAAACTCTCGCAACGGTACTTACGCCATTTTAAAATATACGTACTCATCACTTAATTAACAAGTGAATTTTCATTAATTAAACATTTTTAATGATTTTAAATATATTTGAATCGATTTTCTTCAGAATAAAAAGATCATGTAAAACGTGATTATTATGAAAGTTGACACGATTTATTTTTTACAAAACGGACTTACACCACTTTAAATATAAACGAGGAGAAGAATTGCTGGGGTGATCAATCAAAATTATATTATTCATCATCATCATCACAGTCATATCCCTCTTTACCGCCTATGTATTGTGAGGTTGCTTCTTGTAGAGCTTGGACCAGGTGGACCTTTCCAGTACCAGCTCTCGTCTCCTGTTCCATTCCAAACCTCGCTTCTGGAATGCATCTCGCACGCTTTCTTCCCAGAAGATTCTGGGTCTTCCTCTCGGTCTCCTACCCTGCACGCGAGTCTCATATGTCTTCCGTGCGGCTCTGTTCCGGTCCATACGGAGAAGGTGCCCAAATCATCTCAACTTGTGTTCTTCTATAATGGTTTCGACCGCTTTGGCGTCGAGATTGGCGCAGATTGTAGTATTGCGAATTCTGTCTCGTCTAGTCTTTTCATCCACTTTTCGCAGGTATCGCATCTTTAGAGCCTGGATCTGGCTCCTGTGTTTCGAAGTAAGTGTCCAGGACTCGGAAGAATACGTCAGTATACGAAGGAATACTGATCTGTAGACCGTCATCTTCGTTTTCTTGGTCACCTCTTTTCGATTCAGAAAGCCTTTCCTAACCGAGCCGAACATTCTTCCAGCAGGTCCTATTCTCTGTCTTACCTCCTCGTCAATATATCCATTTTCGTTGAGTTGGGCACCTAAGTATTTGAAACTCTTCACCTGCTCCAAAATCTCACCGTCGACCCTCAATACCCTCATAACCCTGTGAGGTTTTCTTCCAATGCGCATGCATTTCGTCTTCTCAGGGTTAATTTTCATATTGATTTTTCTTAAATCTTCCTTTAGGATATTAATATTGTTCTGGAGGTCACGTTCATTCTGGGCCAATATGACGAGGTCATCCGCAAACGCCAGCAGAGAGTATAGAGTAGGCTGCATATCTCTGTGACCCAACTGAAAACTTCGCATCTTCTGTTTTGCTTTTGCCAGCGCCAGATCGAGAACCAGTACGAAAAGAAGTGGGCTGAGGCTACAACCCTGTCGTATGCCCAGTGTTGTTTATTATTTATTTATTTATTACATAGCATTAGAATGTTAATATATTATCCTTACTAACTAATACATATTGTCTTCATATGCTAATTATGTCATAAATTATTTCATAGTTAATATAAATTAATAAAAACTCACTTTACTTAATTTTATTTTTTTATTTTTAGCTCTTCTTTTATGTTCCGGAACCTCCTTATCCATTATGAAGCTTTCTATTTCTTCAAAAATACAATATTAAAATCCATTACTTTGTATTATCCTATAATTAATCACAATTTACTATCCTATATATATTAATATTTTGAATAGAATAGAATAGAAAATTGAAATTTATTCTGGAACTAAGTCACCTTAGAAAAACAATGATTGATTAATATAAAATAAAATACAAATCTGGCCAAAAACTAACTTATAAAAATTCTAACATTATATACATTATTTAAAATGTAGTATGTAACCACTAAAAAATAAAAAAAAATAAATATATATATATATATATATATATATATATATATATATATATATATATATATATATATATATATATATATATATAAATGAACATATAATCTCAAAATTACTTATTATTAAAATCAGTTGTATTTATTATTTAAAAATCCATATGTTGAAGAAGTATAGATGATCAATTATTTAAGATAATATAAACTGATAAGCAAACGTTATGGTGAACCAGAAGAAACAATTTAAGTTATCTCAGTCCCATCCTCTCCGTTCTGGCCTCAGGTTCTATATTAATCATTCAATCCAGACTAGTACTGAAGTTCAAGGTGGGTTTCGAACTTTCAGCGACGCTCGTGGGAGACCGCGAACGTTTGGGTGGAGTGTGGGAAAGAGTGGCGGTTAAGAAACGGCAACTATATTACAGGAGCCGGGACAATGAGGACGGGACCACGGGACCAGGTTTCAAAACCTACGGTCCCTCAAGATGCCCGATGCTAATGATCTCTTCGGGGTTACCGGGCACGAGCTAGGCGATCTTTAGAATAGTAAACAATTATCCTAGCTTGCTTTCTATTTTTTATGTGGTAACTGTTCTGCTCTTTCATAAGCCCTGATAATGTTGTTTTTTTTTTTGTTTTTTTTTAGAAATATGTTTCTAAATTTAGACCACTTCGGAGAAAGTAGGGTCACAAGAACTATAGCGTACGCTTCTCAACATATCGTTTATGTAATACGTCGACCTTCCTTCGCCTGACTTTCTGAACCTTGTTCAGAACCTCACGTTGGTTAGGATTAGTTTAATTTAGGTACTTAGGGTTACTGATTGAAGAGTTATAGTAGTCCTGGACTTGTCCTACTTTAGAACACAAATATTCCTAGCTGACAGCGGGGGCAAGATTAATCTAAAACTATGCAGAACTCCTTAATGAACAGACTGCCCGAAAGGCCTTATAACTAGTTTAAATCAACTTTACTCAAAATAGTTCAGTAAAGTTATAAATAGTGCTAAAACATAATTTAAAAATTATATCTTGAGACAGCGAAATATATCACAATATGAAGCATGTTGTATTTCAAAATGTGTTATTGATAAGTTTATAAAATGATACGAATTACGAACTTAGATATTTATTTCTACTATTTTATTTTGACTGATCACCCCAACGATTCTTCTCTTCAATCATTCACTTCAGTCAACAATCACTCCTCATTTAAAAATAAACGGTTCATTTACACAATTTATCGAGACAATATGTGATATAAATATAATATTGGGCAATTCACCGTGTAAGTAAATAAGAATCTCTTACCTGAATCATCAATGTGCATATTTATATATAATTTATCAACGAATTTATTATTTAATTCTTTGAGTAGAATCTTCACGTTATTGGATCAAGGTATTCTCGAAAATCCTATGAATTTAGGAAGTTACCCGTTCGATCTATTCAATCACGAGTGAAACAGTTATAAATGTAACTGATTATAAATGTAACTGTATCTTTTTAATGAAAGGAACTGTTCCAAATAATCAGCTATTGAACACCCCACCACTACACTATAGCACACTTAACTTAGCATTAAACTGACTCTCACTGAAGATACTACAAGTGAGTTCATATCTTATTCTTATTTGTATCTAGTGTTCACATATTTACAAATGTTGAAAATAATTCTGTTTTATTTTATCATACATAATAGTTTTATTTAATTCTATTTACAAGCCTTATTTGATTTAATATTCAATCATTTTTATCGTTTTTTTATCATTTCTTAAACAAAAAATATCAATTGAAAATAAATGTACAACAAATATTATTTCATATAACAAGGTAAAGATTGTTTGATTCTTACTCTATTCTTTATAATTAAACTAGAATTAAGTATAAGCAGCTTTAATTCTAATGCATACAAATATTCTAGAAATATCTAACACATATATGTGTTTTCGACCGGAAATAACAGAAATTTTGTACTGTATAAAAAATCATCACTGGAAGGTGAGGTTGCATTTTTTTTATCAGTTTTATCGGTGGTTCTATTTAAGTTATATGTTATATTACACATAAATTTACGCCATAGAGAAATAGCCCGTGGCACAGACCTCTTTTTTTCGAATTATTAACATCCGCCTGAAACTTCCTGAATAACAGCTTTATCTCATCGTAACCTACCACTATTTTATTCACAAAAACTCTGGTGGGGGCAAACTTTGTCTATTTAATCAGGTACTGATAACTTATTAATACCCATTTGCTTTTCTCTTGAATCGTGAGATAATATGAACACAAAATGGAAAACAAAAAAGATGGCCTACAAAAATATTGACCCATTTGGCCCGTCTAACCTCGGTTTTTTTTTTGACGTTTTGGGAGTGAAAGTCAGATTAAACGGACCAATATTTTTGTAGGCCACCTTTTTTTCGCGATTTTGTGATCAAATAATCTTACGATCCAACTGGAAAGCAAATGGTTATGGTTATATACGAATTTTCAGTACCTAATTATTTATTTATTTTATTTAATTATTTATTAAGTATCACAACAATCTGTCTCTTGGACATTAGTTATAGTGAGGTAGGATAACATTCACACTATATATAATATATAATAAAAAATATAAAATAAATAGAAGCAAAATAACAATAAATAATAATCAAAAAGTATATACAATAAATAATGAAATAAAATAACCTAAAAATAATAAAATTAAAACTAAGCAAAAAACACAAGCATACCTACAGTGGTGGCAAAAAGTATTTGCACATCATGTTTTTATGAATAAATGAGTTCAAGGAACCAAAAAACTTCGCTTTCCTCTATAAAAATGAAAAGTACATTTGTTGAAAACTGAGAAAAACCTTTTGGAAAAAATGACAACACTCCATAATGAAACAAAAAAATTAAAACAATAAAAGTGCTTGGAAAAAAGTATTTGCACACTATGACTCACAAGCTCTGTTTACTTTGGCATTAATCCTCCTGTGTCCATAGATCATAGGTTTGTTTACTAATTTATCTCTAATCGTTTATTACCAGTATTCTCTAGTCTTTCAATCAGTTTCCTTTAGTCAATAGACAATTATCATGCCAAAGACTGTGTGCCGCAACTCGCGAAAAAATGGTTTTACTGAGGAGTCAGCAAAAAACATGTCGCCAAATTGCCGATTTCTTAGGGTTGAATTTTTCTACAGTGAGATACGTCATAAAAAGGTATGAAGAACGTGGTTCAACTGAAAACAGTGAGCGTAAAGGGCGCCCAAAAAAGTTAACTCCCAGGCTGAAGAGGAAAATCAGAATAGAAGCTCTTAAAAATCCTCTGATAAGTTCTCGGGAGCTGGCTACCATGGTCCAATCAACGTCGGGAGTTCAGATTACTAGCAAATTTAATTTTTTTGGTTCAGATGGTCGGAGGACGATAAGGCGACATCGTAAAGAAGCCCTAAAGAAGCAAAATGTTTTAACAACTGTAAAGCATGGTGGAGGACATGTTATGGTTTGGGGGTGTGTTTTCTACCATGGCGTGGGAAATCTTGTGCGCATCGAAGGCATTTTAAATGCGGAAGGATATGTGAACATTTTGCGACGTAATTTGCGTGTTAGTGCCGATAAAGTGGGAATCCAGGATCAGTACTATTTCCAGCAGGACAACGATCCAAAACATACTGCGAGGAGAACAAAGGAGTGGTTAATATTTAATGTTCCAAGACATCTCCACACTCCTCCTCAGTCACCAGATATAAATATCATTGAAAATTTATGGCACAACCTTGACCAAAATGTAAGAAAACACCATATCACTAGTGGACATCACCTTAAAGAACTTCTTGTTCAAGAATGGGGACAAATAAACGTAGATTTGATTAAAAACCTAGTGCATTCAATGCCCAGACGTCTACAAGCCAATATTGACGCAAATGGCCTATTTACAAAATATCTAAACTATTAATATTTAAAATAAACTTGTAAATGTGGAAGTGTGCAAATACTTTTTTCCAAGCACTTTTATTGTTTTAATTATTTTGTTTGATTATGAAGTGTTTTTATTTTTTTGTAAAAAGGTTTTTTTCAGTTTTTAATAAATTTACTTTTCATTTTTGCAAAAGAAAGCGAAGTTTTTTGTTTCTTGGAACTACTTTATTCATAAAAACGTGTTGTGCAAATACTTTTTTCCATCACTGTATATAAACTATTTACAATCAGGCAAGGGAGCTCCAGGAGAACCCTGCGCTACTCTCTCAACCTCATCACTGATGCTAAAGTCAGCTGAGTTGAACGAGAGCGCTTTAGCCTCATACGCTCATGTCTCGAGTGGAGAAAATGGCCATTGCCAGAACTCCCATATATACAATCTACAAAAGGTCGCGAGGCTACTGCCGTTTCAACCTTCTTGGAGGATTATAGGGATGGGTGGTGCTTGATAGGGATTGTGCAAGAGGATTTGGATGATACGTAATGTTCTGGTGAAATTTGGAGAATTTTTCTGGGATAAGGTCTAGGACAAATGGGATGTTGAGGTCATGATGTAGGGTTTTCTTGGTTACATAGAAAGGAGCATCGACTATTGTTCGAAGGACTTTCGACTGGAAGGATTGGATGCGCTTGATGTTAGAAAATTTCGCTGTTCCCCACAATTCTAGTCCGAAAGTCCAAATAGGTTTCAGTATTGTCTTGTAGATTAGTAACATGTTTGCAATGGAAAGTTTAGATTTTCTGTAGTTTTTAGTCGGTATAGTTGGCCGTTTCGTCGGTTTAGTCCTGTCTTTTAAGTCTAGTATGAGGGTTCCACGTTAGTCGCCGGTCTAAGAGAAAGCCAAGGTACCGGAATGTATCTGAGAAAGGAAGATGGATGGTGTTAAAATAAACTGGTGGACAGGATTTACGAAAAAGGGTGTAGGTTATGTATTTATATTTGGATTCGTTTATCCTAATGCGCCATTAAATTACCTTATTAAATAGACAAAGTTTGCCCCTCTCCAGATTGAAAACTCCCCAATTCCAAGGGTTTTCGTAAATAAAATAGTTGTAGGTTACGATGAGATGAAGCTATTCACAAAGTTTCAAGTAGATGTTAATGATTTGATAAAAAGGGATCTGTACCACGGATTAATATAGGTAAGTGTGGAGCCAGTGTACTGGCCTCATTTAGCAGACTTTTGTTTAATAACAGCCACTTAGTTATAACTTATCAATTATCCTAAACTTATCAATGGAATAGATGGTGCTTTCTTTTAATCATCGATCGAATCACCGATGCTTCAGTCGTTTTATCGATTTTTGGGATCGACCTATTAGCTGGTTGTATCCTCATTACAACCTAATTGTTGTTATTCCTCAACTTACTTTGCATATTTATGTTAAGAATATTTTCTATTCATATTTATTACTTTCACCTACGTATATATGTTATACATAGTAAGGCTAAGTATTGCGATTGAGAAAATTTTTGAATCTGAATTTTAAAGGGAAATACACGTTTTGGCGTACCCTGAGTCCAAATAACCAAGTCCCGAAAAATGGTCTGTGTGTATATGTGTGTGTTAACAGTCTAGCTCATAGCTCTAAAAAAAACGAAAAGTCGTACGAAACAGATATTACGTATTTAAGATAGGTATACGCCTTAGATGTCGCTGCAACCTTTTCCTTAAAATCGGCTAACCGGAAGTGCCGACGACTCTAACGATTTTGATTAAACTCGGTGCATCATTGTATAAGAAGTGGTCTTTAATATCATTTAGGTCTTTTCCGTTGATGTCACATTACAGGGCTTAAATGCCCAATGTTCCTCTAAAGTACCTTTAATATGGTTTATTTTAAAAAGTTAATCATTTCACATTATTAAGAGTTAATGCTAAATATGAAAAAATGCTAAATATAACTTTTGAAAGAATTTGATAAGTTAATAAAGGAGAAAAAAAAAATGCTGAAAAACCAACGATGCTACAGACTGTAGCGCCTAAACGAATATACCGATTTCAATGAAAGTTCGCTAAAGTCATTTTCTCGACACCCTTTAAATTTATCTATATAACATACTTCAACGATAAGAAGCTGGAAAAAAGGTATACACTTTTTTGTCGATATTGTGATAAGATGATTCAAAGGTATTTAAATTTCCTAAAAAATGAAAGAAATTTCATCGAAATCAAAACACTATTAGTAGAGATATCGCAATTTTAAAATATTATGGGTTTATTATTACTTTCACTTACGTATATATGTAATATATAGTAAGGGTAAGTATTAAGATCGAGAACATTATTTTTGTTTTGAAATTCAGCAATTCAGTTGGTATTTATTTTATAATATTTTTTGTAATTGTTATGTGCTTTATAATCTTTCGGAATTGTTAAGTTACTGCTGGAATCTAGCAATTCGTTCCTAAACTCAGATTTCTATCTATCGATGGAAAGAGCGATAAATTTAGAACGTGTTCAGATTTATCAATCAAGTGCCTGTAAACATTTTTGTGGATATCATCATTCTAAATAAGCTTGTTTGATATGATAGCAGATGGCTTATATCAATATAGTTTGTCCTTCAAAGATAACACTATCCAATCTTTGGATATTTCATTACATATTATATAATCGTCAAAAGGACAGTTAATTTTAAAAAATCGCAAACTAAATTTTTAATCAAACAAAACCAATTTTCTAAGTCAAATAAAGTCTTGATTTGTTTTCGGGAATGGCTCATATTTTAAATATATAGATACAAACTTTATTCTAGGACAGTACTTCTTGTTATATTTGTATTATATATATATATATGTGTGTGTGTATATATAATAGGTATATATATATATATATATTTTTTTTTTATCTTTGGCCGCGAGATGTGATCTCTTTACAGACGTGTGATACTTGCGGGAGGGGGTCACCCAACCTCACGTTGCTACGAACCATGGTTTCCATGGTGCAGCGGCTGGCCACCCGTAGCTCCATGGCCGATTCATTTGACGCCAATCTGGCAATGTCCTTCCCTCCGACTTTCTCGGGTTCAAGGACAATGACAAATCGGTCTAGATCCATGGATTATGACTGCTCGGAGTCAGCAGGCGCACGAGGACCTATATTTCTTTTCCCGGAACAGACCGTCCATGGACCGAACCTCAGGGGGGCTATTAACATCCTGGTAAAACCACGTCCCGATTCCCGGTTTAAAGAACGGGGTAGGGTCATCAATCTTACGCCTGGTTGGTGTGAGTTGCCTCCAGTAGACTAACGGGGCTCACATACCCGAGTGGGGCTAGGAATCTCGGGCAGCGTGGCTTTCCTTGGTGGACGGTCACCCATTCATATATATATGATATGGGGCCTGGGGTATCCTTGCGGGCTGACTCGCTTGCAGTAGATAATCAAAGTTAAGGAAAGCTGAGCGTGGCTAGCACTTGAATGAGTGACCGTCCACCAAGGAAAGCCACGCTGCACGAGATTCCTAGCCCCCCTCAGGTATGTGAGCCCGTTAGTCTACTGGAGGCAACTCACACCAACCAGGCGTAAGATCGATGACCCTACCCCGTTCTTTAAACCGGGAATCTTGATGTGGTCTAGGGGATCACACTCGCTGTCAAAGATTTTCATGGTCTGTAGCGCCAACCGAAAAAAAAAAATGTATATATATTATTTTATTTTATTATATATATATATATACATATATATATATATAAAATATAGGGAGGATTGTGTTAAAGCTGCTCTAGCTTGTTTGGGTTTGGATGGTCCCCAGTGGAAGAATTATGATACAGCGAGTGATTGATGATATCGGCATCGAACCTTCGGTTTCTGTAAGCCTTATTATTATTAATATTTGATTTTTAATAAAACCAAAATGTATTTATGTTAGCAGGAAAATGGTGGTAAAATTGACTTATTTCGCAATGTCAGGTCGTGGGGAACCCATAAGATTGTTACTGTCTTACTCCAAGACGGAATTCGAAGATATCAGGATTGGCACAGCGGAGGAATGGCAGAAACTGAAACCAAGTTAGATTATTTTACTATTTATTTTATAAATAAGAATGGTAAACATTTATTAATAAGACTGATAAAATTCTAGCCCTGAAGTTGCCACATTTGCCAATGCTGGAAGTGGATGGAAAAACTTATTTTCAAGCGTTTGCGATTTGCCGCTACTTAGCTCGAAAGGCAGGTCTGAACGGTTCTTCTGAAGAAGAAGGCCTTGCTATTGATGCAACTGTGGACACCTTGATGGATATGATAACAAGTAATATAATATCATATATTAATTTAGAATAATAATATTATATACTACCTAGTTCTGCCATAAATACTGTTACAAAAGTTGAAGTTTGTTTACATCCTTGTATATATATTTGTATTATTTAGATAATCCTTAACTCTATCAGGTTATTTTCTTTACATGTAAGGATAATAATCCCAATTAGTTTGTATTTTTCTTTTGCTCAGTTAACATGGAGTGGGGTGATAAAGAAAACCGAATAGCTGTGATCGTCTTACACAAAGTTGGAAAATGTAGGTCAGAGATTTTCAAACTTTGAAACCTTTGGGTATCAGCCGTATGTTCATGTACCGCTCTGTAATAGTTATAATGAGACTCTTTCTGTATGTGACAGTCCTCGCACTGTAAGAACGGCAAATGCAGTGAGAGCAGTGGCTGCTCGAATCAGAAGAAATCTCATTCGAATACAACAAATTATGTGTGGGGAAGTGGGAATCTCTGTCAGATCAATTTCTCGTATAATAAAATATGACCTTAGGATGGGTGCATTTCGAAGAATGACATGACAAAGGCTAACATGGAGTGAAAAAATGCAAAGTGCTCCTTGGCCATTACAACAATGGTCTTCATCGAAAGGTTTTGTTTAACGATGAGAAAATTTTACAATTGAAGAGAAAATTAATCACCAAAATGATCGTGTGTACGCACACAGCTCTAAAGAAGCTCAGACAGTCATTGGAAGAGTGTAAAGACGTCATCACCCTTCCTCAGCGACGGTTTGGTGTGGGGTATGCTTTGATGGCACCACAAAGCTCCAATTTTGGGAAAAAGAAATTAAAACAGCCTTTAAAGACTATCAGGACGATATTTTGGATCCTGTTGTCAAGTCTCTAAATGATAACTCTGTTTGCTAATCTTAATTAATATATGATATTATATTACTTTTTATCATATCCATCAAGGTGTCCACAGTTGCATCAATAGCAAGGCCTTCTTCTTCAGAAGAACCGTTGAGAACTGCATTTCGAGCTAATTAGCGGCAAATCGCAAACGCTTGAAATTAAGTTTTTCCATCCACTTCCAGCATTGGCAAATGTGGCAACTTCGGGGCTGGAATTTCATCAGTCTTATTAATAAATGTTTATCATTTTTATTTATAAAATAAATAGTAAAATAATCTAACTCGGTTTCAGTTTCTGCCATTCCTCCGCTGTGCCAATCCTGATATCTTCGAATTCCGTCTTGGAGTAAGACAGTAACAACCTTATGGGTTCCCCACGACCTGACATTGCGAAATAAGTCAATTTTACCACCATTTTCCTGCTAACATAAATATATTTTGGTTTTATTAAAAAACAATTATTAATAATAATAAGGCTTACAGAACCCGAAGGTTCGATGCCGATATCATCAATCACTCGCTGTATCATAATTCTTCCACTGGGGGCCATCCAAACCCAAACAAGCTAGAGCAGCTTTAACACAATCCTCCCTATATTATATATATATATATATATAATAAAATAAAATAATATATATACATTTTTTTTTTCGGTTGGCGCTACAGACCAAGAAAATCTTTGACAGCGAGTGTGATCCCCTAGACCACATCAAGATTCCCGGTTTAAAGTACGGGGTTGGGTCATCAATCCTACGCCTGGTTGGTGTGAGTTGCCTCCAGTAGACTAACGGGGCTCACATGCCGAGGGGGATAGGAATCTCGGGCAGCGTGGCTTTCCTTAGTGGACGGTCACCCATCCAATTGCTAGCCTTGCTTAACAGCTTTGCTTAACTTTGATTATCTATTGCAAGCGCCTTAGCCCGCAAGGCTACCCCAGGCCCCATATCATATTCATATATATATATATATATATATATATATATATATATATATATATATATATATATATATATATATATATAATACAAATATAACAAGGAGTACCGTCCTAGAATAAAGTTTGTATCTATATATTTAAAATATGAGCCATTCCCGAAAACAAATCAAGACTTTATTTGACTTAGAAAATTTGTTTTGTTTGATTAAAAAATTATTATAGATTTTTTAAAATTAACTGTCCTTTTGACGATTATATAATCTGTAATTAAATATCCAAAAATTGGATAGTGTTATCTTTGAAGGACAAACTATATTGACATAAGCCTTCTGCTACCATATCAAACAAGCTTATTTAGAATGATGATATCCACAAAAATGTTTACAGGCACTTGATTGATAAATCTGAACACGTTCTAAACTTATCGCTCTTCCCATCGATCGGTAGAAATCTGAGTTTAGGAACGAATTGCTAGATTCCAGCAGTAACTTACCATTCCGAAAGATTATAAAGCACATAAAAATTACAAAAAATATAAAATAAATACCAACTGAATTGCTGAATTTCAAAACAAAAATAATTTTCTCGATCTTAATACTTACCCTTACTATATATTACATATATACGTAAGTGAAAGTAATAATAAACCAATAATATTTTAAAATTGCGATATCTCTACTAATAGGGTTTTGATTTCGATGAAACTTCTTTCATTTTTTAGGAAATTTAAATACCTTTGAATCATCTTATCACAATATCGATAAAAAAGTGTATACTTTTTTTCCAGCTTCTTTTCGTTGAAGTATGTTATATAGATAAATTTAAAGGGTGTCGAGAAAATGACTTTAGCAAAGTTTCATTGAAATCGGTACATTCGTTTAGGCGCTGCAGTCTATAGCAACACAGGTTTTTCTGCATTTTTATTTTTTTCTCCTTTATTAACTTATCAAATTCTTTCAAAAGTTATATTTAGCATTTTTTCGTAACTCTGAATAATGTGAAATGATTAACTTTTTAATATAAACCATATTAAAGGTACTTTAAAGGAAGACGTATATGAACATTGGGCATTTAAGCCCTGTAAAGTGACATCAATGAGGATACGACCTAATTGGTATTAAAGATTACTTCATTATACATTGATACACTGAGTTTAATCAAAATCGTTAGAGCCGTTTTTGTGAAAATGTGTTTCAGCGTTTCAGCACTTCCGGTTAGCCGATTTTAGGGAAAAAGTTGCCGTCACATCTAAGGCATATACCTATCTTAAATACGTAATATCAGTTTCGTAGGACTTTTCGTTTTTGAGCAAGACTGCTGACATACAAACACACAGAGATACAGACCATTTTTCGGGACTATGTCATTTCGACTCAGGGTATGATAATATATCATATATGATGAAAATTGATTAAATATATCCTTATGTAAGGAAAAGATAGCGTTTTATTAATTATTAAGCATTGTAATTAGGTGAATAGAATATTTTAATGTTTAACTATTTTAAAAAAATTATGCACTTGCAGGATAATTTCGTTCCAAGTTTATCATTTTCTAAATTTTTTTTTTTTTTTTTAGCTGTATACATATAATTAAAAATATCTGAACAAAACAATTAAATACATTATGTAATTGTGTACATTAAACACTTTTTGCAGTTAAAAATGAAAATGTTAAAAACTGAAAAATATTTTTGATTTCTTTGTTCTTAAATTTGTTAGTTTTTTATTTCATAGACGATCACCCCCTCTCTCGATGTCTGTGCCTATGCCCCTGAATAAAAAAAAAATCTAAAATTGTTGTTCTGTAAATATATTAATTATGGAAATCTGGTAAAAACCTCATTTGATTGAAATACCAATTTTTTTCTGTCATTAATCATCCACCATGTTAGTTGGCTGAAATGGTATTTCAATTTAAATGTGTGTTTAGATATTTCACAAACTCTGAGAGACACAATTATCTAACTTAATGTAACAACCACATTACTGCTAAACCAAAATATTCATTTTATTTTTCTTGATACCGACAGCAGATGGAAGAAATCAAAACATGAAACAAAAATGCTAGCATAGGGAAATAATCATTTATATGTTTGTTTGTCCCATAGTTTTAAAATTTCTAAAACTTAAGAACATAGATAAACATTGAAAAATACTTGAAAATGAATAAAAATAAATGATGTGTATTATATCTGAAAAATTGTCCTTTTCAGAAATAATTCCGGCTTATTACAGGCCTGATTCTGAAGAAAGAAGTAAACTTTTGAAAGCATTAGTTGAAGACACAATTCCATTTTATTTGAATATAATTGAAAAACAGCTGGAGGAAAACAATGGATTCTTAGTCGCTGGAAAGGTAATAATTAAAAGATTTTCCAGATTTTAACATAACATAAAATTATTGTATTTAGCTCGAATTACAGATTTCCAAAATTAACATAGGGTAAATGCACCAGTGTTATTTATTTTACCATCGTTGTAAAACAAGTTAATATTTACAGTACAATATTTATAACTTTTGGACTTTATTCTGTTGGAGTTTTTTTTTTTTCAAGCTGTTTACTAAAGAATTCATAACTCCACTAGAAATTTCCATAAAAAATTGCATATAATTGTTATTTCAGGTGCGAAAAGCATATTTAAATTTTATTCCTTCATAAAAAAAATGTTTACTCTAGATAAGGAGGCGGTTTAGAAAAAATATTCAACAGATATCTATAGTAAGAGTAAAGAGAGAGAAACACTTTATTTTCATAAAATATAAAATATAAAGGATTGCTGCCCAATTACATTGGGTTGCTATACACACAGCATACTCTTCTATCCTTAAGACAATATATGAACTTATATATAAATATACAGAAGTATTAGTTAATATTAGTAAAACAGAAATATATATATATATATACATTTTTATTATTTTATTTATCCTTATAATTTTTTTTTTTTTTTTTCCTTTTTCCCTCTTCTCATTGTTCATGCTTTTTTTTTTTTTTTTTTTTTTTTTTTTATTTAACATTAAGTTTCCCTTTCTCTCACTTCTCTCTCTTTATCGCTATTGTTTTCAATTATTCACTAAAAAAAATAAATAAACAAATACATAAATTAAAACTCTCGGGCTAGCCATGCACGTGGTGGTGAATGATTCCCAGGGAGTCGAGGACTATATTTTCAGCCAACCTCGCTACGTCCTTAATGTCGACACCTAGTTCCTCGAGGAAGCTCCTTGTTCTTTTTGGGATAGTTCCGCGAGACCCAAACCAGAGGCCTCTCTCGGTGAACTCTGTCTCTCCGAAGGTCTCACGGAATTTCTCTTTTAGGAAAGGGATACATTTATCGTACGTGTTCTTCTTTTCCCTTTCCACTTCACCCGCCTGATCGAGGTCATTGCTCTCAAAGCGGACAGTTGGATCCAAGATCAGCGCTGTCCTTCCTGTCTTGGGAAATGCGACGATATCAGCGTATCTCGTAGAGCCCTCACTATCGATGCAATATACCTCGTCAAAGCAGGTGAATTTTTTTTCCCTAAGGAGCCTCATCAATTCGAACTTGACCCGGTGGTGACGACGTGTTATGAGGAGGGAGTTGTTGGGGCATTTTCCCAGCACATGTGCTGGTGTTTCAGACTCTCTGCCGCATTTACGGCAGAGGGACCCAACTTCTCTGACCTGTCCGCTGACTCCTGGGACTCCACGCAGGGGTGCATAATTAATGTTTAGTTTTAGGGCATTCGACCATTCAGACCCAGAAAGTACTTGCTTTTCGTAGATGTATCTATTCGCTTTCGGGGTCTCTTTAAAATGGCGAACACCAATACCCTGCCACCTGCAGTTGGCCCATTCCTCAAATGCATTTTCTCGTAGCGACTGCCGTAGAGCTTTCACATTTCGATGACCCTGATCAACCCCCAATCTCTCGGCACATTCAGCAATTTCAGCCGAATAATCGAAGGTAGACTGAAAAAGGGCATCTGGTACATTGGACAGTCGCTGAGCAATGGACCAATGTTGAAGAGGAGCCTCCCATTGGCAGCGGATTAATCCCAATCCTCGGTATCTCCTGGGGGCATACAACATCGCTGTGGAAGTATTCGCAGGCAGTCCAATAATGGCCTTTACGCTCCTGCGAATCATAGTGTCGATGCCCTCCAGTATAGCAGGACGTAGCTTTGTTAGGGGCGCAGTTTGGAGAGGGTAAGTAAGACCCGGGAACAGATATTGATTGACAATGTTGAGTTTCTGCTCAGGTTTAAGTAAGCAAGAGGTTACCAGCTTGTTTAGATTATCATTCAATTTAGTCACCGAATCTTCGTTGAATTGCAGCTCTCCCGAGAATGTACATCCTAAATACTTAATCGTATCTCCATTCTTCAATGTTTGGATGTACTCACCATTCTCAAGGGAGAGCACCGTAGTTTCCAGCTCTCCTTTATTTATAACGATGCCCATACTTTTTAGAGGATTTATAGCCAGACCAATTTCTTTAAATGTTCTTTGTATGCTGTCAATCACTCTTTCTGCAGCCCCCTTGTCACGCGCCGACACTGCCTGGTCATCCGCGAAACCTGTGAGGACCACACAATCTTGCTCATTCCTTAATTTGTATCCAAATTTCTTGGAAAAGTCCTCGTCACACAGGTCGCGGTAGAGATGATCGATGGCCAGGTTGAAGAGTGAAGACGACAGGGGGCCACCTTGGGGTACACCGCGCAGCACTTTGATCTGGCTAGTTGCATGGACACCGTTGCCAATCTTTATGGTGTTCGTGCTAAGGAGAGCTGATATGACATTTGTAAGATTCGGTGACACACCTCTCGCTTCTAAGGAGCTTACGATGTGTTTGTGCCCAACATTGTCAAAAGCACCGACAACGTCGAGGAAAACTATCGCACAGTCATTTTTCATTTTTTGTGCATCTTTTAATACCGCGTCGATGATCCTCGCGTTGACGTGCGTTCCCGGGAGGCCTTTTATAAAGCCTCTCTGACTCTTGTGGAAGGTGACCTGCTTTCTTAACTCGTAGTCCAGAACCTTCTCTATGATTCGGCGCACAATCGAGTATATGGTGATCGGTCTCCAGGTAGAGATATTGTTTATATCACCTTTGCCCTTATATATCAATATTGTGCGCCCTTGTCGAAGTGGTTCCGGAACATAGGCCACCTTCAGCATTATCTCTGCAATCGTTTTAATAATGCTTGATACCTCAAAATATTTTATTGTGCGGATCAGAACTCCATCAGGCCCCGGCGATGTGTCCATTGATGTTGATTTAATGGCTTTCCTGATGGCTTCTATCTCAATGGACAGCAAATCCGGCATCGGGGTACACTGTTCGTAATCCGCACGCCCGCAGAGATTTTCGTTCTCAAAGAGGTCTTTATAATGCCTCTCGATATCGGCCATTTTTAGAGGACACCGTTTAGGAGCGTCGGCATTCATTACAGTTTGCACAACCTTTTTTCTTTTATTATAATAATTATATTGGGCAACCTCGTACTGATACTGCTCTTGCCGACGACTCCTGTCTACTTTGTTTGCCCTCTGCGGATTTGAGACTTGTCCAGCACCCTTGTCAGCCATTTTCATTTTATTTTTTTTCCTCATCCTATAAAATTTTACGGCTGGGTGCTGGGGACCTGGCAGTTCCGCATTAATGACTTTGAGGAACTTTAGGAACTTGCCTACGGCCTCATCAAAATCCGCAGTATTCACCATTTCTTGCTTTAAAAGGTTCTTGAACGTAGTAGACCATTCAACAATGTCCTCTTTTATTTTTGATGACTCACCCTCTCCATTTCTAGGACCTATCACGTTCTTTACTATGCCCCTCAATGTATTATTATTCGCCTCCCTGGGATGTTTTTTTGCAATGTGGGTTCCGAGACCTCGTTCGCCCTTAAAAGAAAGCCCGCATATCGGACAAACTTTATCATCAGGGCGTAGAGCTTCATTTTGCCGCTCACTAAGTACCTCTGCGACATTCAGCGGATCATTTGGCAATCTGGGAAAGACATCATCTATCGACACCGTCTTTCCCAATACCACACCTTCTGTGTCAGGCCATTCCACTTTAACAAATTTATTATCTCCGCCTCCTGCAGTAGCCACAGACATCACAGAGGCAACAACCGCCTCTTGAACAGGTCCTCCAGTTCTCAGAACCCATACCTTTTGTCCAACTTCGATCTTCTTCGTTGGTATTTTGTTCATTGCAATATTTTTTTTTTTCGTTCTAAACTATGCCCACCACGCGCATGATTGAAACAATCTGTGCATAATTAAATAAATAAATAAATACAAAGTTAAAAACTATAAAATTAAGTGTTAAATAGTGTTATAGTTAAAATATAAAATCGATAAAAGCTTAAAAAAAAAATATACATCTATCAAATAAATTGCTTATAAATAAGTTACAATATAAAATCAGTAAAAAGTTTAAAGTTAAAATTTAAGTACAAGTTAAAAATAAGTGAAAGTTAAAATCTAAAAAAGTTAAAATCTAAGAAAGTTAAAAAGTTAAAATCTAAAAAAAAGTTAAAAAGTCAAAGTCTAAAAAGGTTAAAATCTAAAAAGGTTAAAATCTATAAAATAATTTCCTAAAATGAGTTAAAATGTAAAATCAATTAACTGTTAAAACGTTAGAATCTAAAAGAATAAATAAATAAAACAATAAAAATAGTAATTGCCTAAATCAGTTAAAAATCAAAAGATAAAAATTTAAGTAGTTATAATCTAAAAAAAAAACAATATACAAACCTATCCACATCACATTATCAAACCTAATATATAAAATAAATTACAAAATATAGGATCATTAAATACTTTTAAAAAAAGAAAAAATTCAGTTCAGCAATAGTAAAAAAAAAAAAAAAAAAAAAAAAAAATGTCCACTTTAAAACGTTCTATTAATAATAAATTATGATAGTAAAAACTTATTTTTTTCTTTTTATATTTTTGAGAGAAAGGGAAATACAACAGTGTTTAATAGAATTCTATTTAATTTTACTATTGTATATTTAAATATTCTACCAAAGATATGATATATTAATAGTCCAACCGGTCCGGCCGTCACAACAAAGGATGAGACTATGTTTGCTTAATATACCAGAATGTAGACTGTTTACCAGGGGGTCGTCGTAATCCTGCAGCTTTGCAAACCAGCAGTTGGTATTAGCAATTGTTTACCATCAGAGTTCTTGTCAATGGGAATCCCCTCCACGGCATCAGCTCTGGTGGCTCCTCCAAATTCCTGGTGGTTCCTTAAAATTAATTTGACTAAGTGAACAAGGAAAGTTGAGGTAAAGATTTTTTTAAGGGAAAAACTAAATTTATGTTATGGATAAAAAATATTTCTTTTTGTTCATAATTTTTGTCTAAATTGCCTGCATTAAAATACTATTATAATTAATAGTTCATTAAAAACAGCATGAAATGCTGAACGATTCCCTCACGATTTTTAGTTTCTGAGATATGTTTCTATTCAATGTAAAAATTAGTCAAGATTCAATACCAGGGCATCCTAGTCATTTTATGAATAGAGCTTGTTCATATGATTTAGCATCCTCAATCGTGTTGGCGTGACACTTGTGAAGTAGTTCTTTTTCTTTATTTAATTGATACTTTTTTTTTTAACTTTTAGCATTCTTACTAAATATTCCAAGAAGTCCTGTACCCTTAAACTCTATTTATAGATTGTTATGAAACTTTTTGATTTTATTTCATGTTTACTTTCATGTAAAAAAAAATGTGGCTCTAATTTTAATATATATATATATATATATATATATATATATATATAGATATATATATATATATATATATATATATATATATATATATATATAAAATGGAAACAGCCGATTTATGAATTATTACCATATTGTAAGTAGTTCAAAATGGTCTTTAAAACTTTTTTTAATGTTTTTATTTTTTAAATATTTTATTTATTTATTATAAATATTTTATTATTAATTTTATAATTTCATAATTATTAATCATTTACTTATAAGGCTTATAAATAACTATTGCGTTAATTTTAATATATTTTAATTTTGCTCTTTATCATTTTTTTTTTTTCAGCTTACTTGGGCTGACTTTGTGGTTTTGACTGTTGGTACTTATCTACCTGGTTTATTCAAAGTAGACATTTTAGCGGATTTTCCAAAACTGAAGGAACACCATCAAAAGATTTCTGAATTGCCAGGAATCAAAGAATGGATTGAAAAGCGACCTGCAGATCCAGAAGATTATAGGACTTTATTTTTTTAATTATATCTCAAATATAATTCCTTTTGAATATCACTCATACAATGATATCGTAAATGCCCATCTGAAGATATAATATTATGCAAAATGTAAAAGCCTATTGACAATGTATTATTATTAATAAACTATAATAATATAAAAACTCATTCATTATTATTATTATTCATTATTAAGTTTATCATTAGCTTTTGATAATACTTATTATTGATAATACTATGTATTTTCTCCTAAATAATTGACGGATGTATATATATGCCTGTATGTATGTGTACATATCGAATGTGTTGTTCTTTTCTTAAAATAGCTGCTGTTGGGAAAGTTTTCATGAAGGAAGGTGCTGATTATTTGGTCTTTGGTTTGATCGGAATCTAATTATGATCGGAATCGGAAATGATTTTTTTTCTTATTGAACTTCCATTTCTAAGCTACAGGGCCATTTATCTTTCTCAGATTTTGACAATGTTGATAAAAATTGGCGTTCAGTGACCGTGATTATCGACCATACCACTTCATCAAATTATTAAGTTTAGGTATTCGTTCGATGGACAATCTGTCGTTCTTTAATTTCTTAAATAATACGTTTTTCGCTTTGATGCACTGTTTAGTAGTAACACATAAAAAAAAAAAATCAGATAAATCTGGATTTTTTGGCAGTATAAAGTTTTCTCTTGGTGACTAGTGTTAGCAATTTAGTTTTTTACATGTCTATTGATATCCGGCTGTAACTTCGTAAATAGCTTCATCTCATCGTGACCTAGAGATATTTGATTTACGAAAATTCTCTGAATTGGAGCGTTTTCAAAATGGAGGTCGGCAAACTTTGTCTATTTAATTAGGTACTAACATTCGTAAATACCCATTTGATTTCGAATTTAATTGTAAGATAACTTGAGCACAAAGTCAAGAAAAAAGATGGCCTTCAAAAATATTGAGCCTTTTGGCGTGACCTACACCACCAAATGGTCAAAAAACGAGATCATATGTGACAAACGGCCCAATATTTTTGAAGGCCACCTTTTTCTCGACTTTGTGCTGAAGTTATCTTATGATTAAAGTGGAAAGCAAATGGGTATTTACAAGTTTTTAGTAACTAATTAAATAGACAAAAGTTTGCCGACCTCCAGAATGAAAACGCTTCGATTCCGAGAATTTTCGTAAATAAAATATTTGTAGGTTAAGATGATATGAAGCTATTTAGGAAGTTTCAGCCGGATGTTAATAATTTGATAAAAAAGGGTCTGTACCGCGGACTATTAGTTAAAAGAATATTCTATATTCTTTATTCTATCTTACAAATTTTCATGTTTTTTTCCTTAAGATTCTTTGCTTTTCAATAGAATATATTAGTTTTTTGTTAAAAGCGTGCCTTTATATACATATATTATTAAATAATTTATGTGTACTCCTTCACAGTTATAAGAATATTATCTCTGGTGTTTAATTTCATAATAAATAAATGAAGAACACATTACTTATTGATAATTAGGGCTTGTCAGTAATTTTTTATGTTTTGGAAGCGATCAGTTACGGCTCGTTCAATTATGCCCAGTTGACCTTGTCGACATTTTATCCCCACCCTTTATCAACAACTGCAGACTTGGGATGGGTTGATACCGGAATTTTTGTATCTAGATACAACTGATACTTGATTGTATCTGATACTTTTATCTACTAGACTGGATACCCAGTGGTATGCATACTGGTGCTAGTAGGGCTTGATATCCCAATAATTGTATCGGATATTTTAATCCAACTGTAATTGATTACTGATCGGCTTTGATATTTTTAATACCTATTTGATACCTAATAAAACATATATTAAATTTGTACCTTTATAATATATATTTGATTACTTTATTATTATATTTGTTCCTGTTATAAATACTTTACACCATTTTTAAATATAATAGTTCTAATGACTATATAGTTATGTCTGGTAGTATGATGATATTTACACAATATTTAAACAAAATTTGCTTTATTTTTTATAAAAGAATGGAATATTAATTAAAAATTAAAATATAACAAATTCAGGCAGAGAAATTTTTTCCTAATAAATGATTTTAAAGAATTTTGTAACAATTCAAAAAAAAATTTATAGCTAAGTTTAACATACACACACACACACACACACACATATATATATATATATATATATATATATATATATATATATATATTTATTATTATTTTTTTTTTTCTTTTGGCATTTGACTATGTAGATCTTTTGCCACCTTAACAAGTCTGCTTCATCTCTACTTGTCTTGGGCTATTTCTTTCCATTTATCTGCCCGCAGCTCTATTGCATCTTTGTTGATTCTATCTATCCATCTGCTTTTTGGCCTTCGACGTGGTCATTGGCCTTCTATTGAAGCATTCTTTGTTACATAGCGGCTTTCAGATTGATTGCTAGGAACTACATGGCCCGTTATCTTTATCTCCGTGCCTTCATATCATAGGATATTGATTGACCAGTTTCTGTAAGCAGTTCTTTATCAGTCTTTCCACTGTTTGTCATTTAGCCATGTCCCTGGTCCGGCACTTTTACGAGCTTTATATCTCCGGTCCCTGAGGGGTACTAATTCTAATTTTTGAGGTACAAATTAGGTACTAAATATTGGCATAAGTTTCAACTCGAAATTCCATAGCTGCCGGGCCAGCGACATAGACCTTATATCTCCGGTTCCTGAGGCGTACAAATTCTAATTTTTGAGGTACAAATTCGTACAAATTAGGTACTAAATATTGGCATAGGTTTCAACTCGAAATTCCATAGGTGCCGGGCCATCATGTCCCTGTCCCGGCACTTTTACGAGCGTTATATCTCCGGTTCCTGAGGGCTTCAAATTCTAATTTTTGAGTTACAAATTAGGTACTAAATATTGGCATAGGTTTCAACTCGAAATTCCAAAATAAATTCGAAAAATATATAATATATATATATATATATATATATATATATATATGTGTATGTTAAATTTAGCTGTAAAGAATTTTTTTAAATGTTACAAAATTCTTTAGAATCTTTGTTATATTTTTATTTCTAATTAAATATATTTTATTCTTTTGACAAATATAAAGCATATTTTATTTAAAATGTTGTGTACATATCTGCATATTTACTAATAAATTTAACAATAAAGGAATAAAATGTATAGGTACATATTTAATACATGTTTTATTACATATATTGTAATACCTAATAATATAAATAGGTACGAAAAATATCAAAGCCGATCAGTAATCAATTACAGTTGGATTAACATATCCGATACAATTATTGGGATATCAAACCCTACTAGCGCCAGTATGCACACCACTCGGGTATCTACTCTTCAGTGAATCAAGTCCAAGTATCAGATACTAATATCTGATACTAGTATCAGATAAAAATATCCGATACAAGTATCAGATGAAAATATCCGATACGAGCGAGTATCAGATCAAAATACTGGATACAACTATCAGATACAAAAGTAGCAGATACAAAAAAGTATCCGTAGCAGTTATATCTAGATACAAAAATTCCGGTATCAACCCATCCCTAGTGAACAATCGAGCTCAGGATTCTCCGAACTAGGGCCTGCAAGCACCTCCGATCCGGTCCGCGAAAGTTTCATTCACTACATAGTAAAATTTAAAAAAATGTGAAATTTAGCAAATCGCTCACAGAAGAGGTTCCTATATTTATTGTAATAATATTTTCCTTCAATGGTAACCCAAGCGAAAGAGAGATTATTAAATAAGTATTACATGCTCCATGCCTATTGTAACTAGTCTCACTACATGTAGTACATGTTACATTTTACAATTCAGAATATATGTAGATATCTATATAAATAAAAAAAAGATTTTGTCTGTACATTGAATAGAATCAAGCCGTTTTATGATATCTTTCCGTATCATACATTGCAGACACCAAATCCACTTTTTAAAACATATTTGTCTGTCTGTATGTCCGCATTGCAACGAAATTTTGTCAGGGGTAAGCTCAGCAATGGCTTATTGTAGACTTTTGAAATTTTAACATTATATTAAGGCTTGCCTGACTTAAAACATAGCCTTTAAATGAAAGCAAAATATTGAGTATAACCAAAGTTATGAATTCTTGATAATTTTGTCTAGAGATCTCATGTTAATGTTAATAATAAACATATGTTTATAGGTTAAAGAACATCTATATAAATAAAATAAAGGTTTTGTCTGTAATTGAATAGAATCAACCCGTTTCATGATATATTTCCGTTTTATACATTACAGACACCAGATCCACTAAAAAAAATTGTTTCTCTGTCTGGATGTCCGCATTGTGCAACGAAATTTTATCAGGGTAAGGCTAATGGTGGACTTTTGAAATTTTGACATTACATTAAGGTTTACTTGACTTAAAATATAGGCTTTAAATGAAAACAAAATATTGAATAGAACCAAAGTCATGAATTCTTGAGTAATTTCTTTAGAGATCTCGGTTAGTCAGTTACTTCGATTCTTATCCCAACCTACTCTACCACGAGCCACATTTAAAAGTTGTAGTACTTAACTGATGGAAAAAATTATCACAAATCAACGGGAAAAACCCGGAATACCGAACATCTGTAACGCTTTGTCACATAAAATGGGTAAAACATTCAGTTTTCAACGTTGTCCGATCTAACTGTTCAAGGTGTCATTCAATTCAATATCCCGAGCCTAACAAATGTTGTCTTATATATTTTTAGGATTAACCAAACGGATTAGCCGGAAATTAGGAAACAAACTACAAACATTTCACCCCGCCCCCCATAATATTCAGATCAAGTTCTAATTTTACACGGATGTAGGTGACTCAATGACAATGTTATTTTGGTTATTTTTCCTGCGATAAACTCAGTAGAGTTTAAAGAAGTGGAGAGACTACAACTCTTTTTGATTAATTAATCGACTCCACAATCTCCTCGCTTCATCATAAATGAAAATTAAGCACTTAACAAATTTTAATTTAATTAATGGTGGTCGGTTTATTTGTGTGGTACCTAAACAAATAGCCGAACAACAAAGTTTTTGTTATAACTATTGCGAAATCTTGAATTCCATAAGCCCCGCCATAAAAATTTAAAAACAGCTCCCCTTCTCCCACCCGACCCAATTTTATGAAATTGAATTTCGACACTCCTCCCCCATAATATAAAATCCATCTCCAAAAAAGATTCTGAAATTTTAACTATACATCCGTCAACGACGGGTACATCAGCTAGTTTACAATATTTGTTAAAAAAAATAATTAATTTTTTTAACAAATTATAAAAAATTATTAGAATCAAACAAATTTCGATATAAAAATAAAAGACGGCATACTACAATATTAATAAAAATAAAATAAAATGTAATGGAAAACTGAAAATAAAAGAAACAAAACTAATTAAAAAAAAATAAAATAAAACACACAGCAAGCAAAGCAAAATTTGTCTTAATTCAAACTGCCTACCTACATTCATCCGCCAATTGATCAAAGTCTATTTTTTAAAAATAAAATATAAGAAATCTTTTTTAAATTTTATCATTAGTCTCTCTTCTGTTTTCGGCCAAATTCCTCGTTTTAACTTAACGTTTTGTATCAGACTTGCTCGATTCTATTAGGTCTATCAATTTCTAGAACTTGTAAAAGTGAAAAGCAGATACCTTGAGAAAGTGAGTCTTCAAGTCCAAGTTCTTCAGTGTTCAGTTCAGACAGGGTAGGTGCGAGAATACCCAGTAATTAATGAAAATTCGATGCTCTCTGTTCCGGCGACAATTAATAAACTCGTACAACAGTAACGACTTTGAAATTTACTTTTATTTTAAAATAAAAACGTCTGTCCAGTAAAGTCAGTATAGCTTCCCCACTGTTTTCATTGGCTCTATATTTCAAGGTCCATAATTGTTAGTATGAGATTAAAATCTCCGGGAGAAGCCGTTTTCGAAAATGCAGTAATGCCTCAATATTATCGGGTTTGATATCCACAAATTTTGTTTATCAGCGAATATTAAAATTGCGGAAAAATGCACATTTCCAGGTCGTGTATTTGATGTTTCGTGTTTGAAAAAAAAATCCCAGTACATACTGGACATTCATATTTTAGTGTAAAAGGTCGTATGTAAAATTCTTTATGATTTACCAGGAATGCCTACAAGGGGGTTTCATGGCGCAACTTGCGCCATCAACATTTTTGAGGGGGCACATTTTCACGAGGTTTTGAATTTTTGAAGGGAGTACATTTCGACGGGATTATGAATTTTCAAATTGAAAAGTTACAAATCAAAAGACAAATGGAAGCATAGAAAACAGTGCAGGATGTCTTATTTTATATAATCTACGAATTTTTAAATTTTACTTTTGTTTGCACTGTTTTTTAAAAGAGGTAGCAATAAAATATCTTTAAGGAGTGGGGGAGATTCAAGCACCAGCGAGCTTGGGGGGAGGGAGGGATGAGCATCCCTGAGATTTATTAATATAATTTCATATTTTATTGCCCTCTGCTATTTTCCTTATTAGTTAACTACCTATATTAGTTGCAGACTACAAAATGTCACCTTTAGCAAAAATAGAATAGAAATTGAACAATTATAAATACTTCTTTTAGAACTAACACGAGTGATATGTCTTCTATATATTCTATAAATATCTTGCGATATATTTACTTAATAGATATGTCTTCACTCGTTTCTTTTCTTTATTTTATTTGCAATATGACAATAACTATATAGTTGGATTTTCAATCATGTAAACATCGAAACATAAAATTTATAATTTTAAATGTTTTATCTCATATTAATGTTATATTTCACATAAACGTTAATTTTTAAATGTTATATTTTACTTTTCCTCATTCCCGAAGGTAGGGAAGCATTATATTCGTGCGAGAGGTTAAAAAAAAATTTGTATTCAGAATCGAAAATTTCCACTTGCGTTTTACGTTTCAGACATCAAGGATCAAATTTGGTTCGGTGTCTGCTGTATGTAGTCAAATCGATGTAACGGGCATATCAAATACTACTGTTCATCCGATTTTCAGGAATTGTGCAGGATGGTGTCTAAATGGTCCCATATCAATTTTATTAAATTCTAACTAGCACTTATATTATTGAATTATGTCCGTTGCTTACTCTTATATATGCGCAAACGTATTTTCCTTGATATCTGTAAAACCGCAAGTTTGATTTGGCTCAAATTTGGAAATCATTTAGTGATTGGTAAACGTAAAATGAAACAGGCATCAATTTTATCAAATTCTATATAGATAGATAGATAGATAGAAAATAACTTTATTCTGAGACACAGTCCCTTGTGAATAACAAAATAGAACAAGATTACATCTGACCAAAATAAAATCAATCGAAAAAAAGAAATAATGTAAAGAAAATATAAGATAAACATTGTAGGCGTAAGAAGGACGATGGTTGTTGATGATTTGGTAGAGGAACGTACCTAGAAAATATTGTCTTCGGAAGGAGGGGAAAAGCCACTTTGACTCAGCGTAGTTGTGAGAGACAAGGGAGTATCTTGGGCCTCGATCACAAATCTTACGCAGCTGTTCATTTGTCTTTTCAGTCTATCGCGGAGTTCCACAGAGAGGCAATCATACACCACACAGCTATAGTCAAAGTGGGGGAAAATGAGAGAGGAAACTAGGAGTCTACGCGTCTATGTTGAGGGAGGAGATGGCGGAAGCGATGGAATAGTTTGAGGGTGGAAATTGTCTGTCGAGAGATATGAGAAATATGGTGATTCCAAAAGAGGTTTTGATCAATGTAAAATCCTAAATTTTTAACGAAGGAGTAGAAGGAGATTGGCTGGTCATTAAGGTGAAGGATGGGATCTAAGAAGGAGCTCGGAAGCAATGACAATGGCCTGAGTTTTGGCAGCATTTAACCTTAATCCATTTACATTTGCCCAGGCACTGATTCGATCTAGGTCTTCTTGGATCTTGGCAAATGCCCCCAGTAACCCAGAAGGGGAAAATGATAGGTACATCTGTGAATCGTCTGCATAAAGGTGGTGGGAACAATGGAGAATTGATTTTGGTAGGTCGTTAATGTAGGAGCTGAAAAGGAGAGGAGATATGCTTGAATCCTGGGCAACTCCAGAGGATAAAGAAAGGAAGGCAGATAGTGGTTGATTGGGTATGGAGACTGCTTGGGTACGTTGTGAAAGGAAAGATTGAAAACAAGAGATGGAACTATTGGAGAAGGATAATAGTTTCAGTTTGTTGAAAAGGATGGAATGGTTAATGGAATCGAAGGCATTGGAGAAGTCGAGAAGAATAAAGACAGTCAACTTTTTATCATCTATTGCAGTTTGAATGTCGCTGGTGATTTTCATTAAGGTGGATTGTGTGGAGTAGCTGGGACGGAAACCAGATTGGAGAGGATCAAGTTGGTTGGACTTTTCAAGGAAGTTGGAGACTTTGGATTGCACCGATCTTTCTAGGGGTTTTGAAAGGTTGGAAAGAATTGAGATTGTGCGGAAATCTTCAGGTGAGGTCGGATTAGAACTTTTATTCAAAGGAAGGACAATGGCTTTTTTCCAAGATGTAGGGAATACTGAATTCTGAAGAGAGAAATTGTAGATGAAAAGAAGAACTGGGAGGATTTCAGGAAGACATAATTTTATTAATTTGACAGGGATGCCATCAGGTCCTATGGATTTGGTGTGGGATTTCATTACAGCGGTTAAAAGATCTGTAGAGGAAATGTCGGAAAAATAAAAGTTATTGTCGTTAAATGGTATCTCTATAGGAAAGCCGGAACAGGAGGATAAGTGAGAAGTATTAGCAACATATGAAATGCGAGTTTAGATCATCAGGAGATATTGAAAAAGCTGGGGCTGGGGATCTGGAAGGATCACAAAGGGAGAGTTTACAAAGCAGTCGTCATTTTAATTTTATGTCAGGAGTTGAGGAAAGGGCTTCCTGGAAGTAAAGGGTAAGGTATATGTAGAAGGTATATGTACCACTCAAAAAAAAAAAAACTTCCGCTTTCAGGTCAGGAAATTTGTTATTTGTGATATGCCTATAGTTTGAAAACGGCGCATTCGATTTGACCTTGGAGAACAGTATAATAACTTAGTATCAATTTTATTGAATTCCATTTAATAATTATAATTAATATTAATAATTTTCAACAATATAATAGCTGTGAAATGTTGAAGGCACTGATCATATGCCGTGGGAGTTAGGTTATTACAATATTGTTATGGAGTTATAAAATTTTAGGTTTTATTCCAAAAATTAATTGATACTGTACTGTTTGGTCGATTCCAAACATTGCTGGCATAACACTTACTGCCGTTACTTATATTTCGTGTAATTTTCAGTACAAAATAATTTTTAATCTGAGTTTGTAAAAAAAAAGTCTTATTTGTAATTGTGTTTATTTCCATTGAAGTTCAACCAGTTCGTCTTGGTCTTGATTTCCTCCTTAAATATCAAAGTTGTGTGTACTTCACCCATATTTTTATATTTTCTAGCTTAATGCGTTTTGTTATGACTGATGAAAAATATTGGTCTCGTTAACTCCGAACAAACAATTTGAATTTTTTCTATGAATTTTCTAGTTCCATCCATTTTACGAGTGAAAACATTCCTATTAAGCATATATAACTATTAGTGCAAAAGGTCGTCCATACAAATTTTCAACTTATATTCTATTTATGCTAAATGTGACATTTTATAGTCTGCAACTGATATAAGTTGTCTGCTACTATGGAAAATAGCAGATTACAATAAAATATGAAATTATACTAATAAAGCATAAAGAAATAATGAGTTTTTATGCTCTCTTGTAAAGCAATCAATTTTTACATTGCTTTTACACTAACAGTAGTGAAATGCATGTTCAGTATGCATTGGTATTTTTTTAAAATTAAGAATAATCAAGTATGGAATCTTCAAATAAGGCACTCCTTCGCATTTTAATATTACTTGATAAACGAAATTCGTAGATATGAAACCCGCGAATGTTGAAGGGTAACTGTATTTCCGAATCAGCTTCTCCCATAGATTTTATTCTCATATGAAAAATTGTATACCTTGTAATATAGATATTTTAGGCAATGAAAACAGCGAGGAAGCTGTACTAACCTTACTTGGCAGGCAGCCGTTTTTTATATTAAATTAATTGAAGCTTATGCAGCATTTTAAAGTAACTGAACAAAGAATATAACGAAAATAAATCTTTCTTAAGTTAAGAGAAATTACTAAACTGAAGATACTATCGGTAGTATCGAACTATCGTCTATCGCCCAATCGACTATCGCATAATAGGTTGTGAATAGGGATGGGTCGGATTGTATGTATCAGATACTTTTATCTGATACTAAAAAAGTATCTGATACAACCAGTAGATACAACCAAAAAGTATCTGATACAAAAGTATCTGATGCTCACATGGATATAAAATGGTTGTCCAGACATGCCACATTGATATAAGAGAAATGTTTAGTTATAATTTTAGTTGTGCACAATTTTTTTAGAACTATCTATTCATTTAGTTTAATTTAATTAAATATTTCTTTGTAGATAAATATATTCACGCTTATTTTTTTTTTTTATGTAATGTTAATTTCAGATATTTTTATCTGATACTGCTATCGGATATTTTTATCTGATACTAGTATCAGATACTTTTATCTGATATTTGTATCAGATATTTTTATCTGATATTTGTATCGGATATTTTTATCTGATATTTGTATCGGATATTTTTATCTGATATTTGTATCAGATATTTTTATCTGATACCTGCAGCGGATACTTTTATCTGATATCTGTACTAGATACCCAGCGGTATACATACTGGCGCTTGGGTTTATTAGTTAATATATAATAGTTCTAATGACTGTATAGTTATGTCAGGTACTAAGAAAATATTTACACAATTTTTTAAACAAAATATGCTTCATATTTGACAAAAGAATGGAATATATTAAATAAAAATATAACAAATTCATGCAGAGGAAATATTTTCCTAATACAACGTTCTTAAGAATTTTGTAACAATTAAAAAAATTCTTTATAGTTAAGTTTAACATACACACACACATATATATTTAATAATAATAATAATAATAATAAGGCTTAGCGAACCCGAAGGTTCGATGCCGACACCACCAATCGCTTGTTACACACCTCCCTCCACCGTTCGCCGTCCAAACCCAGTCCCTTCAGATCGGCTTTAATGCAATCCTCCCATCTTCGCTTCGGTCTACCCCTCGGACGCTTACCATTCGGCACAGCAAATATTAACCTTTTAGGAATTCTCTCGTTACTAAGTCCAACAACTTTACAAGCCCATTTGATTCGCCGCGATGAAATTACCTCAATTATATTACCCGAATACAGCTCACGCAATTCGGCGTTGTGTAACCGTCTGAACTCTCCGGTTAACTCATCCTTCTTCGGTCCGAATATTCTACGCAATACTTTATTTTCAAAAACCTTAAGACGCTGCTCATCCCTTAATGTAAGCGGCCAAGTTTCGCATCCATAAAGAACTGTAGGCAAGATAATTGTTTTATAGATTCTAATTTTTAAGTTTCGGGACAAGAGGCGCGAACTAAGTAGCTTTGTCAAAGAAAAATAACAAGCATTCCCCGCCTTCAGTCTAACCTTAATCTCTTCTTCAATTTCGTTTTTTCTAGTTATCGTAGAACCTAGATACCTAAATTTATCTACCTGTTCAAACATATTACCATCTATATCGATACCACCAGTAGTATCGCCATTTTTGCAGCTAACCATATATTTTGTTTTATCCACGTTTATTTCGAGTCCTAGTTCTTTACCGGCTTTCATTAACGTTGTCGTATTTAGTTTTATAGTTTCAACGTCTTCGCTTAACAGTACCAGATCATCAGCATAGCCCAGCACGGATGTTGTCCCGCCCAGATCCAACCCTTTCTCGGTTCGCATTAAATCCCTAAGGGCATGTTCCAATGCCAAATTGAACAGGACAGGCGAAAGAGAATCCCCCTGTTTTAAGCCCGAACGAACCCAAATTTTTCGGACAAATTATTACCGATTCTAACTTTATTGAGTGTCTCCGTCAAGCACATCCTGACTAGATTTACTAGTTTTTTTGGAATCCCCTGCTCGATTAGAATATTATACAGTTTCTGGCGGTCAATAGAATCGTAAGCCTTTTTAAAATCTATATACAGCTGGTGAACAATACCGTTATACTCCAATTTTTTCTCTAATATTTGCCGTAAAGAAAATATTTGATCAATAGTCGAACGATTCCGTCTAAATCCGCATTGGTAGTCTCCGATAATTTCCTCGGCGTATTCCGTGATTCGACTGGTTAAGATTAAAGTGAATATTTTATAACATACCGGAAGGAGTGAAATTCCTCGATAGTTATTACAATCCGTCCTCGGACCCTTTTTGTGAATCGGAATAAGAATAGATTCTTTCCATTCTTCAGGTAATTTCTCGTTCACCCAGATCTTTTTAACCAACCGATGTATTTTAGAAACTCCAGCTTCCCCGCATGCCTTAATTAGTTCAGTAGGAATATTATCGATTCCCGCTGCTTTATATGATTTTAATTTTCCGATAGCTACTTCAACTTCCTCTTTACTTGGTCCTTCTATTAACGGTTCAGCACTCTGGTACTCAGAAGGAGGACACAGATCATAATTTCCCGTATTTAAAATATTGTCAAAGTGGTCCTTAAACTTATTCAATATGTCAGCCGGATCGGTCAGAATATTGTTATTATCATCCCTAATTCCAGACGTTACGGGCCCTACATATTTACGTGATCTGTTTATACCTTTGTACATGTCTCTTACGTTATTTTCGATTCTATTAGTTTCTATTTCAATTATTTTATTTTTAAGATACTCCCTTTTTTTATTTTTGAGCAATTTTGTCGTTTCGTTCTTTGAGATTCGGAAGTATTCCAGATTGTCTTCGCTAGGATTATTTAGAGCTTTTAATTTAGCGGCTTTTCTTTTTTCACACATGTTTAAGCAATCTTCATCAAACCACGGTTTGTTATTCTTATTTTCCTTTTTTCCTAGACACGAGTTACCGACCGCTTTAATATTATCTCTGATCTCTATCCATAACTTGTCAATATCCTCGTGGTCCTCGTCAGGAAGCTCTAAAGCTTCAAACCTATTCTTAACATCTATCTCGAATTGGTTTCTAATTGATGGATTTTTTAATTTTTCCAAATTAAAATTCTCAAAATCGAAACGGTTTTCTTTTCTCTTTTTTATATTAAGTTTTTGTCGAAGTTTCGCGATTACTAATTCATGATCCGACCCACATTCTGCTCCGCGATAAGACCGTACATTAATTATACTGCTTTGCCACCTATTTTGTATCAAGACATGATCGATTTGATTTCGTGTTTGCGAATCCGGTGATGTCCAAGTATATTTATGAATATCCTTATGTTTAAACGTCGTACTTTTAATTATCAGATTTTTCGAGATGGCAAAGTTTATCAGACGGATCCCATTATCATTACTATATTCGTGCAAGCTTTCTTTACCAATCGTCGGAATATAAACTTCTTCCCTTCCTACCTTTGCGTTCGCGTCACCTACAATTATTTTCATGTAGTTTCGCGGTAGTTTATCATAAACCCATTCGAGTTTATCGTAAAATTCACTTTTGACTTCATCGTCACTGTCTTCGGTCGGACAATGTATGTTTATTAATGCGATTTTAAGCCAACGTCCCTGAAATGTAGCTACCGAAATTCTATCACTAAAGAATTGTACGTCCCTCAAAGCGGATAGTAATCTACTCCTAATTAGAAACCCGGTACCCAAACAATGATTCCCGCTTCCTCCGTACCAAATAGTGTACTTCCCTTCCCTCATCGAGCCCTCCCCTGGCCAGCGAACCTCTTGCAGAGCCACGACATCCAAATTGTACCCATTTACCTCATTCGCTACCGATTTTAGCCCCCCTGCTGTGTTTAAACTCCTTACGTTCCACGTACCAATATTTAAATCCCTATATTTCAACTTGCACCATGAATCCCCTAAAGCAGTCCCCACCCGGAGACCCGAACGGGGGACTAGTTTACCTCCGGATAATGAGCGTTTTACCTTAGGGAGATCCATGACTTTTTGTGGTGTTTGGTGAACTAAAGATATGTGAGTAGGGCGTTCAATCCTACGTCACACCCTCCAGCAAGTCTGGTGGGCCCCTACCTCCAGCAAGTCTGGAGGTCCCCTCCCTCCAGCAAGTCTGGAGGGCCCCTCTCATTGTTGGTCAGCGAGTCCATCGGACTTAGCCGGGAGGAATTTCCAAGGAATTTCCACCGACCATCCCCACATCCGCCACCCGTGGGACGCTCCCCATACGCGGTAATGAGCCCGCGCGAGGACACATATATATTTATATATATATTTTTTTTTTTCTGTTTGTATTACAGACCATGTAGATCTTTTGCCACCTTAACAAGTATGCTCAATCTCTACCTCTCTTGGGCTATTTCTTTCCATTATCTGATATTTGTATCCGATATTTTTATCTGATATTCGCATCGGATACTTTTATCTGATATTTTTATCTGATACCTGGACTAGATACCCAGCGGTATGCATACTGGCACTTGGGCTTGATATTTCAATAATTGTATCAGATATTTTAATCCAACTGTAATTGATTATTGATCGGGTTTGATATTTTAATACCTATTTGATGCCTAATAAAACATATATTAAATGTGTACCTATATATATTTTATTCCTTTATTATTAAATTTGTCCCTGTAATAAATATTTTACACCATTTTTAAATATAATAGTTCTAATGACTTTATAGTTATGTCAGGTACTATGAAGATATTCACTATACGATAGCTAAGTTTAGCATACTCACACACACATATATTTCTTTTATTTTCACCGATCAATCAACATCTTGGGATTTAGATTATATAGGACTTGTATAATGCTTGCAATACTATTATTGTATTCTTTGAACATATTAAATTACATATGTAAGTCATTTAAAGTAAATATTTATCCACTCTTTTAATATTATTTTTTTTCATTAATACAATGTTATGACAACAAAAGTAATTTGTCGTTCATTTCAAATTTCAGTTAAAATTCCATAGTTTATTGTTTTTAGTAACTATCTTGCTGTATTGGGACCTTATTGCTCATATTATGTCTTTAATATATCAGTATAGTTATGTAAATCCTTCTGTTATTACTTATTTTTAAGTTTTTTTTTATTGTAATATGCATTTTGGCAAGTTGTTAAGTTAATTTTTATGTACAATATTTTTATTCTCAAGGGACTTTGTCTCAGAATAAAGTTAATTCTTCTATTCTATTCTATTCTATTCTATATATATATATATATATTTATTTTTTCTGTTTGCATTACAGACCATGTAGATCTTTTGCCACCTTAACAAGTATGCTCAATCTCTACCTGTCTTGGGCTATTTTTATTATAGTAGGCAAAAGACCACGTCGGAGGCCAAAAATCAAATGGATAGATAGAATCAACAAAGATACAATAGAGCTGCGTGCAGATAAATGGCAAAAAATAGCCCAAGACAGGCAGAGATTGAGCATACTTGTTAAGGTGGCAAAAGATCTACATGGTCTGTAATGCAAACAGAAAAAATAAATATATATATAGAATAGAATAGAATAGAATAGAATAATCACCTTTATTCTGGGACAAAGTCCCTTGAGAATAACAATATTGTACATTAAGATTAACATAACAACTTGCCAAAATGCATATTACAATAAAAAAACAAAACTAAAAAATAAGTAATAACAGAAGGATTTACATAACTATACTGATATATTAAAGACATAATATGAGCAATAAGGTCCCAATACAGCAAGATAGTTACTAAAAACAATAAACTATGGAATTTTAACTGAAATTTGAAATGAACGACAAATTACTTTTGTTGTCATACCATTGTATTAATGAAAAAATAAAATAAAAGAGTGGTTTAATATTTACTTTAAATGATTTACATAAGTAATTTAATATGTTCAAAGAATACAATAATAGTATTGTAAACATTATACAAGTCCTATATAATCTAAATCCCAAGATGTAGATTGATCAGTGAAAATAAAAAGTATATATGTGTGTGTGAGTATGTTAAACGTAGCTATTAAGAATTTTTACAAAATTCTTAAGAACGTTGTATTAGGAAAAATTTTTCTCTGCATGAATTTGTTATATTTTATTTAATATATTCCATTCTTTTGTCTAATATGAATCACATTTTGTTTAAAAAACTGTGTGAATATCTTCATAGTATCTGACATAACTATAAAGTCATTAGAACTATTATATATTAACTAATAAGCCCAAGACTAGACTAGATACCAAGCGCCAGTATGCATACCGCTGGGTATCTAGTCAAGGTATCAGATAAAAATATCAGATAAAAGTATCCGATGCGGGTATCAGATAAAAATATCTGATACAAATATGAGATAAAAATATCCGATACAAATATCAGATAAAAATATCTGATACAAATATCAGATAAAAGTATCTGATGCCAGTATCAGATAAAAATATCTGATACTAGTATCAGATACAAAGCAGTAGGAAGGTCATGACCAACTACTGACCCATTTGTATCAGATACAAAAGTATCAGATAAAAGTATCAGATACAAAAAAGTACCCGTATCAGTTGTATCTAGATACAAAAATTTTAGTATCAACCCATCCCTTGTTGTGAATTTTGGAGTAACTGCATTGGAACGCTATTGATAATTTGGAACAGTTCCATTTGTGGAATGGAACAGGCTGGAACAGGATCACTAAAAATCTGTAGCGACCCTTCCTTACCTGCAGGAATGAACGTCTCCTCATTCCCTTCCACCAGGAACGGACCATCGATGGTGTTTTCGTTCCATCGCTACTGAACACAAGTAAGGAAAGGCCTATAAGGTAGGCCGGTCGAAATGTCAGTATTAAATAAATAATTAGCAATTATTGGATAGTTTTTTTTACTGAGTTCCATAACCGCTTGTTTTTTCATAAGTTCATTCATTTACACATAAATACATCGATAGGCAAAAAATTCCACCCACTTGTAAAAAAAATTGTATTTGTATATAATACATGGTATTTGTATATAATACTTAGTATTTATGGAATTTTATAATCTTTTTTACCTTTAATAATCAAAATGTGATTGATTAAGAAAGATTAGAGAAAAAAAATTGAAAAACGAACCATTATTATTCTAAAAGAAATTAATTACATCGTCGTTTAGTAGCGCGTGTTTCCTCCTCTTGCCTTCACGACTTCTTGAAGACGTCTCGGCATACTTTCCACCAGTCGGGAAAGGTCCCTTTGCTGGAGGATAGCCCATTCCTCCCGAAGAGCCCTTTCAAGGTCCTGCAGTGTATCAGGAAGTGTTGCACACGCTCTTATTCGTCTTCCGAGGTTATCCCATAAATGCTCAATGGGTCTCAAATCTGGAGAACGTGCTGGCCAGGCTAAAACCTCAATATTGTTCTGTTGAAGGAACGTCCGCAGTATGCGGGCGACATGTGGGTGTGCATTATCGTGCATAAGAATAGAACGATCGCCGATTTCGTTGAGGATAGGCAACACATGAGGTTCCAAAATCTCATCTACATAGCGAATGGCCATCAAAGATCCTCCACGAACAACAACCAATTCTGTGCGGCGCTCCATTGAAATCCCAGCCCATACCATTAAGGAACCACGTTGGAAAGGTTGGGTCTGGGAAAAATTACAGGCTGCATATCTTTCGTTTCTTCTTCTCCACACCCTTTCAGGCCCGTCTGGAGATCGAAGAGCGAATCTTGACTCATCTGTAAAAAGTACAGCACTCCATTCGTCCATAATCCAATGGCTGTGTTCTCGAGCAAAAGCCAGCCGTGTTACCCTGTGAGTTCTGGTCAACTCTGGTCCTCTTACTGGACGAAGAGCCATTAATCCATACTCATTTAATCTTCTCCGAGTGGTACGTTCAGAAATTTGCACACCTCGAACTTCTTCGAGCTGATGAATCGCTTGAACAACGGTAAGGTGCCGGTTTCGTAAAATTCTCAAAGTCAAAAACCGGTCATCCCGTGGTTCTGTTGCCCTAGGCCGTCCAGAACCGGGCCTTCTATTATAAGAACCAGTTTCCCGAAAACGCCTGACGGCGTCTCGTAAAGTTTCTTATGCAACTCCGATGGCATTAGCTGCATATCTAATGGAACGTCCATCATCAATAAGTGCCACACCACGCGCAACATCCTCAGTACTAAGAAGCATTTTTAAACTTAATATTGAAAAAATTAAAAGTTGGAGACTAAGAAATGTGTTGCAAGAAACGGCACTGAACTAATGATACTGAATAAACATTTTGATTCCATAGAAAGTAAACATTGGAATCTAGAATCATTTCATTGAATTAAGGATTAAGGGTTATTGTCCTCTATATTAACATTCCTAATTGAAAACAAACAAAAAGATTACCTATTTATTCATTAAAAACAATAGACCAATCCAAAGCAGAAATATTTTTAGATGAAAACATGAAAAAATCAAGTGGGTGGAATTTTTTGCCTGTCAGTGTATAAAACATTTTTAATAGAATTTCATTCACTAATTTTAGCTCATATTATTAAACTAGATATATTCCCTCTTCCGTTTAAAATTAAACTAACACGCTTAATTTGTTTAATAATTGTGAAGAGATTTATTTAAATATTTTCCGCATAGATATTTTTGAATATTTGGTGATTTTGGCTACACTGTTTATTTCATTATAGCTTTTTTCTGCGTTGCATTTGAACTGATAATTATATTTGTTTACTGTTTTACTCTACATAGTTCACAATGTTTTTAAAATTTGTCATTATTTTATATGGTAATAGAACAAAACTCTGACCACTGCTCTTCCCAATTATGCTGGCGATAACCATAATTGGAATTAGATTTAGAGTAATTATGGAGTGAAATATTATTATTGTTGATAGTGTATTTCTGTTTTGTTAAGTGTGCCGTATGTACATAGTGTCTAATGTTTTTATAAAAATATTAGTTCCTTACAGCGCCCATGGCAATTCTAATCTAAAAGTGAGCTAACCTTCCCGCGTAAACAGTAAATTTCAGAAAAGATTAATTTAATTCATTGTTACACTATTGATAATCAGTTTGTAATGTATGGTTTTGTTTGCATTTTAAAGTTTACTATATATTTTTCAATTGAGAATAATATATCTGTTCATTTGTGATAATAAACTATTCCATTTGAGTTTTGGTTATCAGCTCTATAAGTAATGTGTGTATAAAAAATTGGAGAAAAATAATGAAGAGAAAACTGAAGTACTTTGACATGGAAGAACTTGAATCCAAGCAATTTAGTTGCTTTGTTTGTACAGAGAAGTCTAAAGAAAAAGGAATATCCTTATTACAATCTCAAACTGCATTTTCACGAATATCTTTAGGTGAGAAGCTTCAAGAAATTCTTGGCACGAAGTATGTTGTTCTTGTTACTTCTAGAGATTCAATATGTTGGGATTGTGCAAGCTACATCAATTGGGTTGACCGTTCTGAACATAAAGTGGATTTAGTGAAAGAATATATAGTTAATCAAGTCAGTTTAAAATATAGGAAGATTGAAGTAACTCTTCAAGAAACTGTCGAAAATTCTGAGTTGCTTCAAGAAGCAGGTAGTTTATTTTAATACATAATTATTAAATTATTCTCTCTTATAACTTTTGTTATAACTGGAGGATTTGTTTCTGGTATGTGTCAATTGATTTTGTTGACTTAAGGGTGATAAATATTTTGAAATCAGTTTAGGGTGTTTAACATACCTATTATACATTCTTTCTTGATGATCTGTGGGCAATTCGTTATAAAATAAATTAAAGTTTGCAACATCTTTGTTATTATTGTTAGTTTTCATCTATTCCACTAGCTATTAAATTTTTATTTATCATTCTTGAAAAGTGTTAGAAATGTATCTATATAATTAAAGTAGCTCTGTGTTAAATAAGTTTCTGTCTGAAGTAAATGTGCTGCTTCTGTAATTGTTGTTTATATTGTTGAACCTTTTTTTTTTCACCAGAATCTATAACCAATTTTATAATTTTTAAAAAAATATTAATATTTTATTTATATTACCTCTCCTTACCTTATGACAACATGAATGTTAGTTACATTGCTCTGCATGCATATGTTGCCAATAAATCACTTACATTACTTTTTTCTTGGCTAGCCTCGGTTTATCAATCAAATCTTTACATGATTGATATCTTTTTTTGTCTCCAAGTGCCTTCTTCTAAGCCTGTCTGGTGATATCCTTTTGTCTGGACCTGGTGATTGTCTGTTTCTTCCAATGTTTAAATGGTAGGGCCAAATGTGGTTTCCCATCCATACTCAAAAGATCTGTTGTGTAGGTAATTCTCTTCGGTGAAAATCTGAGAATAATCATTTTCTAAGAGAATTTAGTGTTTTAAATTTTTCAAAACATTTTGCTTTGTCTTATTATAGATTTGTCTTTTATGTTTATGCACTGATTAGTAATTTAATTGTTATTTCGGTACCACTACAAATGTCACTCCACTTTGTCCAGTGGGCCAAGATCCCTTGTTTGTGGTATAAATGGGATTCTGAGAATGGCCAAGTGTGTTTGAAATTAGATGGAAGTGACTGAACTGCCTGGTGAGGCCTGGATATTCGCATAAAATGACTATTGGGGATTTGTTTAGAGCAAGCAGGACTCTTAACCCACTATATAATTAAAGCTAATTAATGCCACAATTTTAACTGGTAAGGACCAGTAGGGAGTTTACCAAGTTGTAAATTGTGATTCCAATAAAGGGAACACATAGTCAATCCTTGGCTATTCACCGAACCTCATTTAAACTACACACAAGGGATCTTGGTCCATTTTGTGAGACTTGGTTGTTTGGACTCAGAGGACCTCAAAACGTGTATTTCTATTTCTAAAATTTGTACGATCGCAATACTTTCCCTTACTATATAATTCATATATAGATCAGTGAAAATAAAAATGAATGCGATATCCTGCAAAAATTAAGATTAAAAATTAAAGTTATAAGACCATACAAAGTCCAAATTAAAAAACTCTCCGAGGATGTTAAATATATGAATACATTAACCATTACATTTGAAGAATTTGGATATTAGATTGATGAATAGACAAGCCATAAACCACAATACCATTATGAAATCCGATGAGGAACTGTACACAAAAGACTGCAGATTTTTAATACCTCAGAAATAAATATTTCAATAAACATTTTAAACGTATTATCACTGGGTGACAAATTTTATATTTCAGCTAATAGATACAATATAGAAATAGTAAATATAATTGCTGACGTTTAAAATATTATTAGAACAATAAACACATCCTGAGAATCATAAAAACATAATTAGAAATAGAGTAAATAACCATATTAATGACTTCATTGACAAAAATAATCATAAACATTACTCAAATCAACCCTTACATAATAAAATTAACAAAGACAATAGAAACAAAAACAATTTTTTATAGCAATCCTGAATTTCTCATACTAATATCTGATAAAACTAAAAAAAACATGTACAAAAAAATGTAGATGCCTTAGAAAATATTTCTCCAATGAAATTCAGGAAAAAACTTTAACATACATTAATAATAATGAAATTTATAAATGACAAGGATAAAGAAAAACTGATACCAGACATTACATAATAACACATATACATGATCTTACTAAATTGTAAAACAATAACGGACCACTTAGACCAATTGTTAACAATATTATTGACATAATTGAAAAATTGACAAAATTCCTTAATCCAGCCTTGAACCATCTGAATAATAATAATAATAATTTATACTTTTTTTTTTTTCATATACCTGTTGACTTCGACTTTTTAAGTCATGAGTCTTCTTCAGTAGCTTGGGGCTGTTATAGGCGACTGTAGTGATCGTTTTGTTCTCTCATCTTCGAGATATTCAGGGAACACATAGTTTATTTAACCAGATGCGATCGCATTTAATTTATTATTATTAATTATTTTATATATATTTTGTGTGTGTGTGTGTTTATTAATTCCTGCTAACTGGATTTGAACATGACTTAACATTTTACAGGTGCCTTAAATCACTCGACCACTGCGGCCCCATGTCTAAAATATAAAAAATGCTATGCAAGTGAAGGATAAAATAAATAGTATAGACTTATATGAACATTTAGTAAGTTATGACGCAGAATTTCTGTTTACTAATGATCCATTAAATTGATAATAAATTTAATGAAATAATACCATATACACCAATAAAAGATACACTTTTTATTGAAGATATAAAATTAGTACGTGAAAATGGCAATTTCTCCTATAACAATAAAACAATAAAATATTTTTTCAAAGTGAAAAAATGGCTTACCCGATGGGTGGGTGCATGTCAATAAACCTCTTGGGCATATATATTAATTATTTAACATATAATATTATTAAATCTGAGAAAAAACCAAAGATAACAATATAATACATAGATGAAATCCTTATAATAAAAAAACAAAAATAAAATAAACACATTTTTACTCAACTTATTATAACTTATATTCATTCATATAACTTTATATAACTTAAATTTTATATATATATATATATATATATATATATATATATATATATATATATATATAAATATAAATAAATTAAATTATATAACTTTATATAAATATATTTATTATAACTTAAATTCAATATCTAATAAACTTCAATTAAATGGAAATAGAGAATAATAATAGAATTAGATACTTAGACTTCTATATTAACAAAAATGAAAGAAGTGACCTCAGTTCAGCCATAAAAACCATCAAATAATAAACACAAATAGAAATATAATAGACAAACCAAAATTAATAACAGATAATAATCATATGAAAGCAATCAAATCACAAATATATTAAATTCTATTAGAAAATTGGCATCCCATTTAATAAATAAATAAAATGTGATATAAAAATAAAAACTTAGTTGAAAATAACAACAGTAACAAACAGATAAATGATGTTAGTGTTAATAAAACATGTAACTTAACTAAAACAATAATAGAAATAAGGATTTTAAAATTGATAATATTATACAGCAAAAAACTATAAATAATGATAGACATGGCATAAAGCTGCAAAATGAAAGTTATATAGAAAATAAACAACAACACTATAAAATACTTTGGCGTAACATACATTAGAAATTTAGTGGATAAAATTGAAAAAGATGCACTCCATCTTTTATGAAATACCTCTTAAATCTCAACTTTCCCCTCTCCTCATACTTCAGTAGTTTAGTGGTAGATGCGCTGTTCCTGTGGCGTTATTATTTTTTCTATTGCTGAAGAGTCTCTTGATATCATCTATGTCCGGTGGATCAGTTCCTAGTAGGATGGCTTCATCAGATTAATCTAATCTTCAGTCTCATAATTTTCATTGAGTTCCTTGAAGTAATGTCTCCATCTCTCCAGAATTACAATTTTTTTTTAGCAGAACTTTCTTCTCTACAAGTACTCATGAATGCTTTAAATGGTTTTCTGTTGGTGTTCACTTGCTGGTAAAATTGTCTGGAATCATTCTGGTTCCTGAGATGTTCCTATTCTTTCAGTTGGTCCCTCTCCAATTTGCTTTTATTTTTCAGGTGCTGCCCCTACTATATAATATTACTATATCTCCTCCATTATTTGCATCCTCAACCTCAACTCGTGAGTTAGCAAAATCTTTTTACACGAAGTTGAAATTATCTAATTTTTTTTTGGATGCAATTGGAACATTTTAAAAGGTATTGAACAGAATCATGTTTTGCATTTGTGCTTGGCTGCTAAAATTACATAGGTTTTTATTTAAGACAGAAGGTTCCAGATCTCTCATTTTTAGATTAACTCTATAAAAAAAAGTTTATAAAAAAAGAACAATTATATGCCAATGTAAATTTCTATATTGCTTGTTTTGATTGTTATGGATTTTAAGAGTTTTGCTCTGAATAATTTTAGGATTTTGAAGTCAAACTTTTTGTTTGTTGCTAGTTTTGAAACTAAAATCAGCTTTTCTTTTTTGAAAACTTTATAGTTTGATCATTTAGTTTATTTCTTGATAAAAAGTATTGTAGCAATCGATGAGCTTTATTTATTTGTCGGACTACTAGATTGAACATTGTTTTTTTTCAATTTTAGTTTTTATTCCATATGATTAAATATTTATATATATATAGCATTTCCAAGTCAAATTTAGAATTTTCCAAACCAAATAAGGATTTTTTCAAATCAAATTTAGAACTTTCCAAACCAAATTTGGATTTTTTAAATCAAATTTTGAACTTTCCAAAGCCAATTGATATTTTTTCAAATTAAAATTAGAATTTTACATTTCAAATTAGGATTTTTCCAAATCAATTTAAGAATTTTTATAACAATTTTATAAGACTTTATAGAGTACCAGTAATCTTCTTGTGGGATTCTGACAGAAAATCATTGAACCGAACAGGATTACAATTTGTGTTTGAGATTAACTTAAAATGTGCCACTTTTTTGTTACTGATGGTTAATGCAATTTTTACCTATCTTCTTCTAACAGTAGAAAATTTTATTATTTTATGCATATTTACTCTTGAGCTTGCATGATTCCTTCGAAGATGAAGATTAAAACCTGAGTCATCAATAAACTAAAATTGTTCTTTAATTAAACACTGCAACACCTAACCTTATTATTTATAATAGGTACTACATCTTAGGAATTTAATTAGAAAACTAAAATATCCTATCCATATGCTGTTATAAAAATTCTTAAAGTGATTTGGAAAAATCTTAATTTGAAATGGAAAATTCTGAATTTCAAAAAATCCCAATTTGCTGTAGTAAGTTCTAAATTTGCTTTGAAAAAATTCTAATTTGGTTTGGAAAATTCTAAATCAGACTTGGAAATGATTATATATATATATATATATATATATATATATATATATATATATATATATATATATATATATATATTATTATATATATATTTCATGTTACATTTATATTATTAATATATTATATATATATATATATATATATATATATTATATATATATTTTTTTTTTCTCTGCTGTAGTAACCCTACAGAAGAGGCGTATATTTTTTAGAAGTGTGCATACACCATGCTAAAGCATATTATATGCATTACAGTGTTATTTAGTATATAACTATAAATATATATATATACACATACACATACATATATATAATGTATTAATAATAATAAAATGTAAACATGAAATATATGTAATAATAATAAAATATATTTATAAAATCATTTTTTCATGGACTTGAATTTATTTTTGCAGTGCCTAATCAGAAACCAGCCACGCCACCTTTACCAACTGTTATGTCTATTCATACTGTAAGTACACTTTTATTTCTTCAACTTATGTTTTATTTTTTACTGAGTCATATATTTGTTTCTATTTTATAAAGAAATATTTTATTTTTTGAAGTATGCACTTATTCATTGGATTTGAATTTTTTTTAGATTTTTTGACCTTTATTTTTTTTAAATGCTTTATTTCTTTTAGAAAAAAATTCAATATTTCTTTACAATTAATAAATGTTTATAAGTTCATTAAGATCTCTCTCAGATATTTGTATTTATTTAATGCTTAATTAATTATTTAATTCTCATTGCTAACAATTAGGAAACAAAGGAGGTTAAAGAAGACCCTCCTCCAAAGGCCAGAAAAAAGAAAGAATACTCATGCAAATACTGTGGCAAAGGCTATGTGAGCTTGATGTCTTTAAGTATGCACATTCAAAGGCTTCATGGTGGTAAAGAAGTCTGTGAAGACTGTGGTGCAAGATTTGAGACATTAGCACTACTTAAAAGACATATGAAGAGTCACATTCCTGCAGATAAACAATTAACTTGTGTCTCATGCGGTTTTCATACAACCAATACTGAAGTTTATTGTCGGCATGTTTGTAACTCAAGCATTGTATCACTGACCTGCGTTACTTGCAATAAAAGGTAAAATAAAAAAGTAATCATTTAATTAAGTATTGTAAGGCCTATCTAATAACATGACAATATGAATCACTGACAATTCTGTTTTATTAACTATCTGCTTGCTCTAAGTTTGATGGACCAAAACAAAAAGAATTTACATTGCTTCAGTGTTAGCATTTATTAGTTACTCTATCATATTGTTTTTGTATATCTCAGATATGTTTAAATTAATATTATGTGTGTTTGCATGCAAGCTGTTTGAAACCTTGTGATATAACATAAACCTTAAAAAAAGAAAGGTGGCCTTTAATCACAGTTATTGTTTAATGTTAATGAAGGTTAGATATTAACAATAAAAAATGCAAAAGTGCCATATTTTTGTGATGCACATTTGCAAAGATAATTAACATCGCATTATTACGTCACAAGAGTAGAGATATGGCTAAGTCATGATCTGCCAGTGCCTAGTTCATACCATTGATTATGTTATACTTTTTATCTTAGAAAAGTGTTTCCAGCTTTAAACCTTTCACTCAAGACGTATCTTCCTGTTTTTCTCTTATCCTGCCATTTCTGAATAAAAATGTTTAGTTTTAAATTTATTTTATTAGCTTTAATAAATTCATTTTTATAAATTAGAGGAGAAAAAGATTCAAGAGTATCGTGTTTGGCATCGATGTATGTCATGGTACAGTGGATCAGACCACACCCCCAGTTCCCACCATAGTTCCCAGATGCAATACAATTCCAGTTTTATATACCTTCTTTATTTTATCACTTGTATTATATTGTAGCTCAAACCATGCAAGTACCCAATCTTTCTCCTTGATAATTAATAGCCTCTTGTTGCACAAGTTGCTCTTTAAAATCTTTCAATATCTTATTCACCTGATTTCTCTCCTTCTGTGTTCCACTTTTTCAAGCACCTAAACAGCTTTATATGAGAGAAAAAACTATCAAAATGAATGTGATATTAACAATGCTTTTTCTAACGATGGACAATATTACGAATAAAATCCTTTTTAACGTTTTTATGCAAGAACATTTTCTATACAAAAATTTTGGCATCAGTGCAGTCCAGACCTGAACAACAGATGCTTGTTGGCCACAATTGAGTACTGATGGGGAAAGTCGTACATGGCACCGAAACAATGAACAGATAATCTAGAAATGTAGGTGAAAGTTCATCTGTGTTTTTAGCTGACTTTTAATTATGAGGGTCCTGAAGAAAAATTCTAATTATAACAAATAAAACAAAAATTTAAGATGTCAAAGGAGTAATATTATAATTATAAGTTAGGCTTATTCAGAATGGGAACTAAGGTATCTATGAGATCAGAAGGAATAGAAAGACTTTATGATGCTATCTGACATGGATAGGTTTTTGAGTTAAGAAAGGAGCATTTAATGATCAAATGAAAGGCTTTTAAAATCAAAGAGTTTCAGAATAATAATTTCCTATTTGTCTAGAGAGGATTGAAGTATATGGCAATTTTCAAGAAAGCTGATTGTGTGGAGTATTAGGATCTGCAATGGACCTGGAGAAATTTTTGCTTTGGAAATTATTAAGCTACGAATGGACTAGTCTTTTAGAGGTGGGAATAGAGAGTTAATTCAATGGACAATTTATCACTTTTTTTCCTAGCTGTTGTGAAAATGGAGTTTTCAAAAGAAAATTTGTAGATATGCAACAGAAAAGATGAAATGACAGAAAGGCATAGTATATTTATTTTCACAACAATTTGATCCAGGCCATAGTCATTGGTTCTGGATTTGAGAAAAGATGAGAGTTAGTCTTCTGGAGACATATTTAGGAAATGTAAAATTTTCAGAATCAGAGAAAATTTTTGGAATATAGTGTGTGAGAGAGTGCAATGTAGGATAGGAAGACAATTGGCAAAATAATAATATAGTTAGTCTGGAGGAAAAGGATAATAAGTGCAGGAGTTAGAGTTTACTAGAGCATTTTTTTTCTAGATTTAGGACCAGGTCTTGTGATAAGGAATTCACGGGTTACAGAAAATTGGATGAGGGTTTTTAGAGATTTGAAAGAGGATTAATCATCTAGTGTGAGTAATCGTTGGAGAGTTAATTAATGAATTCCATTTGACAAACAAAATTATATTAATAAAAATATACATATTAGAAAGTATATTGTTTCAAAGTTTCAATATTAAAATAATCATAATTTTTTTTTTTTAAATATAAAAGAAAAAGAGCAGGACTAATTTAATTTTATAAAATGTTAAAACTTAATCTAGGAATCAAAATACTATGAATTTATATTATAAAAGTTAAAAAATAAATGAATAATGTTCATAATATTTTTCTGCCTTTCACACTGTTAGAATGACATTCATTTCTTAAGTGGGTTCATAATTAGGGAATCATCATAGGCTGCATTAAAGTTAGTCAGTGATAATGGAGGCCGCAATCATTTTACGTTTTTTATATGTAACTGTTCCTTTTTTTTTTTAAGTATATACACCCAAACATATACATATGTTCAACTTAATTATATTAATTTTCATAACTTATATATTTATTAAATCAAATAATTTAATATTGATTAATTCTAGCGTTAGATTAATGGAGACCCCGTAAAAACTGATGAGGGCCAGGGGGGGCTCTGTGGTTGGTTGTTTTCCACTTGTCATACCAAATTCTTTTTAGACTTAGCCATATGTTATCCTAGTGCTGTGAAAATTCTTAACTGTATTCAACAGTAATTTTTCAAGTTTCTTATTTGAATATGAACTACACACTATTAGTCCAGTTGCTAGCAATTTTTTTCTTACCTTATAAGCAACAGAAAGTTTGACTAGGAGATATGGATGATCTTCTTATCATTTAGTTCGAAGAAAAAATTAGTTCAGCAATTTTTTATGACGACTTTTGGCGTGTACGATTTTTTAAAAAAAATTGTAATTTCCAAACGATTACCTCAACGCTATAGAAATGTACCGACAGAGGGGATTTAGAAAATACCTTGCCATACAAAACTTTATTGTGATTTGACCGTTTTAGACAATACTTTTTAGAACTTTTGGTTGATATTACCTCATAAGCAGCACGCTTAGAAAATAGTTTATATCAATCTTACTTAATTTAGCCTTTCCAGAAGACTCTCACATAGAATATGGCAAAATATCTTGGTGGGTTCAGTTAACCAAACAAACTATGAAATTCAAGAAATTTGAAAAAAAATTATACGTCATGAACAACTTTTTTTCCCCTTTTTTTAATAATTGTCTTTATATTTGCCTTTTTAATGAACTTTTTGCTTTAAATTATAATAAATATAATATAACATCAACAAATTTGGTTAGGTTTGTCAAACTACACAAATATAAAATTTTTAAAATGTGACATAAGTATGATGGAATTTTTTTTATGAACATTTTTTACTGAAATAGATTATTCAGGAAAGACCTCGCCAGAAAAACAGTTTGTGTATTTCCACTTTCAGATCGAAAAACCTAAATATGTTGACTGAAATTTTGGCACAAACAATGTAAATAAATCAATTTTAAATTAAATAAAAATCTGCATATCAAAGTGAATAAAATCATAAAGTTTATGTCATTTATATTGATTGTAGAAGAAAGAAATATACAAACTGTTTTTTTGGCAAAATCTTTTCATTCTGAATAATCTTTTTCAGTACAACATTTTCATAAAACGAAATTCTCATGCTTTTTATAACACATTGTCATTTTACATTTAGTTCAAATAAAGTGTATTTATATATTTTTAATTTGTTATAAAATCTTGTTATTATTATATAGAGTTGTCCTGAACTCAAGATAATTTTAGGGACTAAAATAAAAATACACTATTATGGTTTCTGACTTGTATTTTCTTTTTAAGGTATGTTGATTCCAACTTCAAAAACGATTCCAGTTCTGGTACTTATCAATGTCAATCTTGTGCTACTGATGAATCAACAAGACTTGAACAAGAGCAACCTTCCCAGGTAATTAAGTTTTAATCACTGTCGTGTGCGTAAGTTTTAATCGGCACTGTGCAAAAGGTCCTATGTACCAATTTTCCATTTTTATTCTATTTTTGCTGAAGGTGACATTTTGTAGTCTGCAACTGATATAGGTAATCTGATAGTATGGAAAATAGCAGAGGACAATAAAATATAAAATTAATAAACCTAATAATTCATAAAGAAATAATTAGTTTTTATGTTCTTCTGTAAAACACTCAGTATTTACAGACAACCTTTTGCACTAAAAGTAGGGATGTGCATGTTCAGTATGTACTGGGATCTTTTTTTTTTTTTTTTTAATCATGAATCATCAAATACACAATCTGCAAATGTGGAACTTTTCCGCATTTTAGTATTCGCTGATAAACGAAACTCTTCTTCGTTATCTATCTCTGATGTCATTCCTAGCGCCGAGGAGCCTCAATCCGACGCAGCCGTGTCTCTCGGTCCTGGCTAAACTACCTTATTTCTTGGAGAGGTTTTCTTCTCTTCCCTTCTATCTGATGTATGTACTCTTGGTAGGAAATTCCGGGACGTCCTCGTGGTCTCCTCCCAGTGGGTCAAGCTTCCAATGTTTTCAATGTTCTTTTTCATCCTCCATCCAACAAACGTAGCCAAACCACTTCAGCTGTTGATTTTCAAGCGTGGTCTTTAGTTCTGACATCTCCAGTTCCTCGCTTACCCGTTCATTTCTGAAATGGTCCCTTCTAGTTTTTCCAACAGCTCTCTGCAGGAACTTCATTTCAGCAGCTGTCACCCACCTGGCCAGCTTGTCCAATTTTATAATTCAATTTTCACTTCCATAAGTCAGGGTTGGTTGGTACACAAACTTGTATATGTGTAATATAGTTTATTTACTAACATTTCTATGTCCCACTAAGGTGTTCCAGATAGGTAGGGTACCTGGTTGGCTTTGGAAATCCTACTTGCTACTTCTGGGTCAATCCTCCCCATATTGCTAATGACAGTCGCCAAATAAGTAAATTCCTTCACAACCTCGAGTACCTTGCCATTATAGGTCACCTGGATATCCTCTTTATCTCTTATCTCTTTAAGCTTGTTCTGCGATGCTCTTCAGTATTAAGATGTGGTATTGAGTCTGCCTCCGTGGACGAAAGCCTGGTTGTTCTTCTATTTTGTTCTTGACTGAGGCCCTTAGTCTCCTTTTTACTATTGAGATGTATAGTTTGTAAGGCACTAAAAGTAAGCTTAATTAAAAGTAAGTCTCTAATTACCACAGTCAGTGGAGCTAGCTTTCTTACCAATAGGACAATGATACTGAACTCCCAATCTCTTGGTATTATCTTTGTGTCCAATTTCTTGGAGGAGGTGCTGGAGAAATTTAATAAGTTCTTCAACTTACATTTAAAATTTCAGTAATTCTGGAGCTATGCTGTCCCTACCTGCTGCTTTACCTATTTTAATTTTTTCGATGGCATATTCTACTTCATCTTCCTCAATGACATCACAGTTATCCTGATTATGTTTTTCTGTGACATGTTCTACTGGATCATTTGACCCTTCTAAGAAGTGTCCTTAATAAAACTCCCTCCACCGCTCAAGAATTTTCACATCTGATATTGTGTTGCTGCTTGAATCTTTGACGTTTCTCTCTTGCTACTTCTTTTTCCTCTCAAGGTCTTTACTTAGCACTAGAATGTTTTAATATTCTCACAGTGTTCTTTGTCGAGACTTTTCTCAAACTTCTTCCATGCAGTTCTTTTTGTTTGGCAGAGCACTGTTGTTCCACATCTCCCTCCAGACCCAATGCCCTTAGTTTTCTTTCTACTTTTTCGGTGTATGAGGTTCTCTTTACAGCGGGGTTGTCTAGAGCTTGTACCTGTTATTTTGTTGTGTTATTTAATGAATAACCTTATGAATTTAATGAAAAAGACAATTTTAATGTATCAAATATTTGATCATTAATTTTTATTTATTAGGCGTGAGATCAGAAAACTAAATTTCACTAAAACTATTGCTCCTCACTGTTTCTTTCTCCATTGTCTATAATAAACTAATAACAAAATTATATCTATGGCATTTTCTACCAGAAACTGAAGTATGAATAATAAAATAGTATTTTTTTTTCTAAAAAGCTTTGTATTATTAATTGATTAATTCACTTATTTTTTGTAGGAAGAAAATACTGGTGCTGAACTTGCCACAGAAATGCCTGAATTTTTTAAGGATCCTGAAAACAATAATGATGTAAGGAATTTAGAAAGAAGTGAAGAAGATTGTGTATCTTACTTACGGTGTGAAGGTTGTGAGGAGCAATTTAAGCTTGGTGACTTAACAAAACATTTGTGTTTTATAAGAGGTGACACTGTGGAGTTTGTTGAAGTGGAGGCACCTACATTTCAAGGAAAGAAAAGCCAACCCACTTCAGTTCCTTTATATTGTAAAGATTGTGGTGATCAGTTTGTGAATATAGAAGACTTAAGAAATCATTGGGATCTTACGGGCCATTTGAGACAGGTAAGTACTTCAGGTGTTGAGCTCAATAAAATAAGAGACAAGTATAAAAAAACAGAAGCTACTTTTAAAGTTGTTAAACAGAATTTTAATATTCGTGCCATAATACCTGGTCAAAATGAAGAGGCTCTACGTTCTGCTGATGATTATAAGGATATGTTTGTTAAGGTAAGCAGAAAAACTGATTCTATTGAAGATTTTGTCAGGAAAGATGGAAAAGAGTGTGAAACATGTGGCATTGTTTTTGCAACTAAAGAGCTACTCGAAGAACACCAGCAAATGGATTGCCTGACTTGTGTTACTTGCTCTGTGTCTTTCTATGACAATAAGCTACTCAAGAGACATTATCTTTACACAGGGCATGCTAATAGAATCATTCAGCCACCTCAGTTGGTTTCTGATAATAAAGGACCCATGGGATTCAAATGCCATCGCTGTGTCAAATCATTTCAATCTAGATTTCTACTTAAAAAACATTTTCAGGTTCATTATCGAGGTACAAATAAAGGTGCTTGTCAATTTTGTCTTCTAGAATTTGAAAACAAGAATGATATCCAGCAGCATGTTCTTGAAGCACATGGAGCACATTTATACAAATGCAGTCATTGTGATCGTACATTTATGTCGGAAACATTTAGAAATAGACATGAAGCAAAACACAAGGATCCCTTTGAATGTCAGATATGCAATATAAGATTTATTAGTAAAAAATCTCTGCTTTTACATAATGAAACATATCATCAAGGAGAATCTGGTTCCTGTACTCTGTGTGGGAAAGTTTTTGAAGATCCTTTAGCTCTTAGGAAACATGAAAGACGTCATTATTTTGAGAAACAATTAAATTGTGATGTATGTAAGAAGAGGTTTAGAAATAAAGCTCTTTTAATCACTCATTTGAAGATCCATGGAGATAAAATCAAAGCTAAATGTGATGTTTGTCAGCTTGGATTCACTACTGAGGAAGGATTAAAAGAACATAAATTTTCTCATATGAAGCCCGGAAGATATAAGTGTCCAAGATGTAACATTTCTTTTGCAAACAAAGCTAATTTCTGGATGCATACAAAGACACACGAAGCATGCTATGTTTGTACAGTATGTAATAGAAGTTTCAGGGACACCTCTTTGTTAGCTGTCCACAGGAGAAAACATTGGCGTGTTAGGCCTTACCAGTGCCCTCATTGTCCTCGCACATTTTCTGTACCTGCGACTTTAAGGAGACATTTGCATGTACATACTCGTATTTATCCGCATAAATGTGGTCTTTGTAAAAGAGGTTTCCTCACAAGACATGCTTACCATCGACATACTGAAACAGTCCATGGTGTTTCTCACAGCTTTCCACAAAGAAGGCCTAACATCCCTTCTTTGCCATTAAATGCAACTGATGAGGATATCTTCCAAGCTGCTGATACTCTAATTGCTGATGATTCATTAATGTTTAATGATTATCAAAATAAAGAAATTGAACAGGTATCTTCAACTGATCTTATTACCAATGAAGTAGTTGTAGAAACAACTGAGTTATTTGATGAAATTTTGCATTGATAACATCCATTGATTTAGTTTTAAAGTTTTTATTTAAAAAATAAATTAAAGTATTTTAAAAATTAAAAAAAAATGTAGAACTTATAAGTACATTTTTTATTTTACATATAATTTGAAAATTATTTTTTACCTGATTCAATTTACGAAACTTGAAAAATGTAGATTATATAAACCAATACTTGGTTTATAAATTAAATATATAAATCATATTTGTGAATATTAAATTTTTTGTTTTCATTATTTTTTAAAAATTTGTTTTACTAGTTTTATATTATCTTATTAATGTTAAAGGCCCACTCTTGCCAACCCTTCGTACGTGATTAAAATTACTATCTTGTTGACTTAAATAAAATTTCTTTAATCTCAATGAACTGAGCATCTGCATCATTCAAGCTTAAATTAAGGAAAAGAATGAAATTAAAAGAATTCGCTGAAAATTACCAATAAATCCATAACTGTATTTTTATGGGTAACAGCCCTACATTAACACTTATTTGTCCAGCATTCTATTTATAGAAAAAGCTATGGATAGTTCACTTCTAATTCAACTATGTCGTTTTCCTCCTATCTGGGCATGTGCGCAAATTTGGTGACAGTTCTGTTAATGCATAGAGACTCTAGGTCTGCCAGGGTGCTCTCATATCACATGATCTACACAGTGATCTATAAAATGTTGCACACAGAGCGATATCTTTGATTGAATCTAAAATGGTGATGCTTTATAAAATTAAAAAGCATCACCATCAAGCAAAAATAAAAGATAATTACTTTTATTCATTTTTTTATTTTGAGGGTTAATAATTATTGCAGTATTTTTTAAAAAGTAAATCAATTCTTATTTGATCACTTTATTGACTAAAAAAAACCACAATGATAAATTTGTTCTCTGTTACTACAATATTAAAAAAATAACAAATATTTTTATAATAATGGCAGGAAAATGAAATTGAATTATTATTACAGTAAGGTAGGAAATCGGTTTTGTACCAAATGTAACATCCTGTCATGCTCAAATGGGTACCGTTGGATTCAGAATTTCACGGGGAGTTAGCGAATCGTATTCTCCACTTTCGTTTTTCTTTCTAAAATAAATAAAGTCGATACAAACATTTTGCTAGGCTTCAATACTGGAACAGTGGTAGGTCTGTAGATCGATACGGGACAAATTGGATCTTAAAGATTTTGATGGGTACAGCAAGACCCGGATAGTTCCTCTGTAATCAACTATCGCATCCTGCGTTTGCAAGCCCAAAAATCTACTATTTTCGAGATAACGCAAGAAATAGGGTTCGCATCCACACAACCTTACCATTAATTGTAGTACTGTCATTGAATACATGTCTCATTTCGTCGACTTGAGGTCTCTATGATCAAGAGAGGAGGAGTTTATATTATTTATCAATGGTGTTTCGATCGGCAAGGCATATCATCGTTAATTTTTCCCCAAATCTCAAGATTGAGCCTCCAATTTCGAAGGCTAATATATAAAATAATGTATAAATAATATATAAAATAGTCCAATTACCCCGAAAATTCAGGCAAACAATTTATGAAAGAAATCAAACTTTATTTGCTAATAACTAAAAAATAACACACCTTTCCCTAGTTTATGCCCATGATTATATAGAAGATTACTTAATTCCCTACAAAACGAAAAATAAATCATCGAAATCAGACAATTTTTAGAAAATATACAGCTTACTGAAATTTGTAGACATGTTGGTTCCAAGCAAAAATGAAGATTTAAATTAATTTTTGTTTTCTTTGTTGATTATATTTATCGATAAAGTAACATTTGATTTCTTTATCTTTTGATAAGTTTCATTATTTTATTTTCTTATTAATTTGGCATTTGATAAGAATATGCTGTGCTAATTTTTTTTCACGGGCCTACTAGTTACAGAGAATTTGATCTGTCTCAGTAATCTGAAATGTGTGATGTTTACAGTGATCAGGTGATCTGATAATGATATTATCATGGTGAGTGATTTAGCACTTAGACTTATGTCCCCGCATTTTTTTTTTTCCTCCATGTATTTGTAGAGAGAATGATTAGTTCCAATAAAAATCAACTTATCATTAACACTACCAAACAGTCATCTAACAGGAGTATTAATATACTATATATAAAGCATGTACTAGTAATATAGTTGAGCAATTATAGGTTAAATAACATGGAGTAGTGGTGTAAAATAAAGTGGATATTATTAATAAAAGTAAGTAAATAATAAATATAAGATGGAGTGAGGTTATTTTTAGATGAATATTAGTAAATGGATAAGGATTACCTTTCTCTAACAACATAAAATTGTACATGTTTTTTGGTAATATTTTTTTTTTTCACTTAAACCTGTACCAGTACAACCATTGAAGGGTCTTGGGTTCAGTACTTATAAGGAAGTACTGTTTCAACGCCAATGGTAGTGCACAGATGTGATTGAGATGAAAACCATGCTCAACTGCCAGATTTTCCCTCTTCATGAATTTTAAGGTGTCCACTTCATAGAAATATTCAGTTTCCACTAAATAATGTTAGTTTTTAGATATTATTCATGATTTTTTTGTCTCACTCTATTGCCATATACAATTTTCTATGTTGGTATTTTTTTTCTAAAATCTTCAGCTGTTGGTATGTATCTATATTATTATGTGGCTCTACAATCCGGTGTCGAATCCTATCCTCCTCCAGCAGCTTCTGCCAATTGTCTTGGTCCATTGCAGCTGCCATCCAATTTCGAAGCCCCAACATATTTGTTACATCAGCAGCAACACTATATTTAACCTCCTCTTAAGGAATAAATAAGGACAAACTCCAAACAGATTTTTATTTTTTATCTCTAAGCCTAATTTATTTACGGATCTCTGGTTTGTGCCATTTCGTGTACAGGATAGGAACATAAATACAAGCCAATTTTTGTGTGGATAAGTAGAGCCATGTCGATGTTATGACAAGTTTTGTTATTTATAAAAAAAAATTGAAGGCTCCTGCCTTGTCAAAAATTTGGGTAAAAAATTTTTATTTTTCGATAGCAATGAAAATTTGTATTTGAGGGTTTGTCGAGATACAAAATAAGAATCTCAATTCCGTTCCTCATTAAAAAAAATATATGAACCCACTTTACTCCTTTGGCCGGTACAAATTGTTTCGTTTCGGGGATAATTCTTTTTGATTTTGATTTTTTTTTTTATCATTTTGTAGGAAATCAAGAAAATTTTCAAATAATGATGGCTATAATCCAATAAAGATAGTTTACTTTTTGAGTTATTCGCTAATCTAGTTATGAATCCTTCGCAACTTTTTGTTCATATTCTTTTCGGGGAAGGATCTTGTATACATAAATTAAAATGGCTTCAAGGAGAAGACGTTAGCCAATTTTAATTAAAATCTTTACAGCCATTCAGGCGCTACCGTCTATAGCGACATGTTTTTGAATCGCCTTTCCGAAACAAAAGACTGGAGGGTGATTAAATGTGTATAAAAACACTCCTGAATGCGATAGAAACATTATGTCAATATTTCAAAGCAATCTGTGAAGAAGTTTCGAAGATCAGCGGTTTTGAACAAACAAACACTTACATTTTTACTTTCGCTTACCTATATATGTAATATATAGTAATGGAAGTATTGTGATTGTGAAAATTTTCGAATCTGAATTTTCAACGGAAGTACACGTTGAGGTACCCTGAGTCCAAATAACCAAGTCCTGCAAAATAGTCTGTTTGTGTTTATGTTAGCAGTCTAGCTCAAAAATGAAAAGTCGTACGAAACTGATATTCTGTATTTAAGATAGGTATATACCTTAGATGTGACAGCAAATTTTTCCTTATAATGGGCTAACCGGAAGTGCAACTTTATATCAACGCTGAAACACATTTTTACAATTTTCTCAAAAAAAGCTCTTAATGATTTTGATTAAACTCTGTGTATCATTGTATAATTAAATGGTTTTTAATATCAATCAGGTCTTATCCCCAATGATGTCACTTTCCAGACCTTAAATGCCCAATGTTCATATGCGTCTTCCTCTAAAGTACCTTTAATATGGTTTATTTATAAAAATTAATCATCTCAAATTATTCAGAGTTACGAAAAAATGTTAATTGTAACTTTTGAAAGAATTAGATAGTTGAATAAAGGAGAAAAAAAAAAAATGTTTATCCAGGTCAAAAATGAATCTCCAGGAATACCAACCATTCCTTGGATCCTTGGATAGTGGAGAATTTTAGAAAAAAAAATATCTAATATAGGAACTTATAGAAGGTAACGGAGAGTGGCGAAAAAATTATAAATAATAATTTTTGAAAACTAATATTGTTTAACGTTGATCTCATGTTCTCAAGGAAATTAAAAGGAATTTACTAACTAAATGTAAACTTTAAAAATATTTTTAAGTTTGAAAAAAGTATTTAAAATCCACCTAATCAAGGCAATGCCGTTGTTTAAAAAACTATTATATTGTATTTGTATGAAAGAAGAAGTGAAATATCAAATCATTTCAATGATGTATGAAGCATATGTTTATAACCTTAAATACATTTACTGTAGTGTAATAATTCGTGTTCTGATATTATATTTAAGTAACTTGGTATCAACGTTCCTTTATTCCGAAAAATCGTCATGTAACTTTTGAAAATTAAATTAGTGAATAATTTTTGAAATCCCAACATTATATGTCTTCCTCTAAAGTATCTTTAATTTAGTTTATTATAAATAATAACTATTTCTCATTGTTAGGAGTTATGAAAAAATGCTAAATATAACTTTTGAAGGAATTTAATAATTAAATATGAGAGAAAAAAAGAAAATTACATATATAGGCCGCAAATGAATATCCGGAAATAATAGAAGCAAGCGGAGAATTAAAAAACAAAACAATATCTAATAGAAAATTTTAGAAAGTAACAGAGAGTGATGAAAAAATATAAATAATTATTTCTAAAAACGTATATTATTTAACGTAAATCATGTATTTTCAAGGAAATTAAATGAAATTTTCTTACTAATAAATGTAAACTTTTAAATTTGAAAACGTATTTAAAATCCACGGATTCAAGGCAATGACACTGTTTAAGACACTATTTCATTGTACTTGTGTGAAAGAAGTGAAATATATAAATATTTCATGGATATATTTATAACCTTAAATATATTTACTGTTGTTTAATAACTCTAGATCTGATATTATATTTAAATAATTAGATACCTATCGTCCTTTTATTCCAAAAAATCATCATGTAACCTTTTAGAAAATTAAATTAGTGAATAATTTGATGAATTTTTGTGATGAATAATTGATGAATTTTCCCTTTGTGATATTCCAACAGTATCCACTTCCAATTAGTGTGACAACTTTTGGCCTGTCTATGATAGACAATACAAATCTCTTAATTTCATTTTAGTAAACTTTGCAATGAAAAATAACAGTTTAATAACTAATAGTCATACAATCCATAATCCACGGATCGTACAACCCATAATCAACCGGTGATATAATAAATAGGACTTTTGTTATTTTAATGGTATTTATGATTTGTTAGCTGTAAACATTTAGCTTTAGCTCGGTTAAAAATGCTATTCAAAAATTTTATAATAGCGCTACATAGACAGAAAATAATTCCTATTCAAAGTTGAGCGGTAAGTGAAAATTGTGTGTTGCGCATACCAGATTTTTATTAATATAGATCATTTCTGAAAACTAATATTATTTACCAGAAACCACATTTTCCCAAGAAAATTAAATTAAATTTCTTAACTAAATGTAAACATTTAAAATTATTTTTAGGTTTGAAAAAAAGAGTATAAAATCCACCGAATCAAGGCAATGTGATTGTTGAAAAAACTATTTCATTGTACCTGTGTGAAAGAAGAAGTGAAATATAAAGATATTTCATGGATGTGTAAAACATATGTTTATGACCTTAAATACATTTACTGTAATTTAATAACTCTAGATGCGATATATTTAAAGAATTAGGTATAAATCGTCGATTTATTTTATAAAAAAAATTCCCTTTGTGAAATCACATTATACACTTCATTGTTACGACTTTTGAATTATCTATGCTGTATTTAAAAGCAAGTAACTGTATTTTGGTAAATTTTCCAAGGGTAAAAAAATAAGAATTTAAATACATGTAAAAAGTGGTAGAGATTTAGTTACTATAATTTTTACTATGTAGCACGATCCATACTTATTCATAATTAAATATATGTACTTTCAGATCTCTCTTAGTCTATAGAGCTCAGAGACTGGAGTTGTGTGATTCAAATAGATATGCAGTTACATATGAGGTTTTTATAGGCTACAATCCATGTTATAAATAGGGTTTACCTTCTTAATGAGTTTTTGCATTAATGAATATGATCTGAATTAAAAAATATATTGTTTAAAGTTTACCTGCATTAAAAATGCGCTTCAAAAACTTCTTGTAAGAGCCCAGTAGGGATTTAATTCCTATAATTTTTATTGTGCAGTATGATCCATACTTATTCATAATTGAATACAGGTACTTTCAAATCTCTCTTTATCTATATAGCTCAGAGACTGGAGTTATGTGATTCAAATAGACTGATGCAGTTATAAGGTTCTTATTACCTACTATGGATTCAATAAATAGGGTATATGTTATTTTGATGGTCTTAATGAGTTTTAGAAAGCTCACTCTCTGGTTGAAGTCCCTCATAATCGCTTCCTAACAGTAATTTAAATTTCCCTTTTATTTCTTAAATTTTTCCCCCTTGTCTACATAGTTTGTAAATATGTACTCCATTCTAAAATCCACCACCCCATAAAAATGTGACCTTAATAACTGATGCCCTGACTTCTGGGCACCCCATCCATATATCCTGTACTTTCAGCTAATTAGTTTTTTGGAACTGTTCAGGAAAACATTAATCAGTCTCCCTGTAACCTCGAAACCTGCAGAAGGCTGGAGGTTGTTTACAGGTCTATAAAATATACTTCAGCCTTGACATATTCCTCTAAAAATAAAATTATTTTTCTGAAAATGTTTCCAACGCTCATTAGCTTTTATGTAAATAGGATTAAACTTTCTTGCAAACCTTTATAAATTTTATTATATATTCTTAAATTTAATAAAATTAAGCTCAGTATTTTTGTTATAGTTTTCGGAAACAATAAAGACTAGTACTTAGAGCAAAGCTGAAATGTTATGATTATTTCTTGAAAGGATATAAAAAATGGTACAAAATGAAAACAAAAAAAATGTTGCGGCGGGATTCTAAATACCGAGAAGCTGCAGGTCTCCACCCCTCCGCCCCCAAGATCGATGATCCCTCCTAAGATATTTTATTTCCCTTCTCTTCTTAAAAACAGTGCAAGCTAAGGTCAAATTTCAAAAATCATAGGTCTTATACAATTACACTTACAGTGATCTATATTATGCTTTTCTCTTGTCCATTGGTGAAACTTTTGAATCCGAAAATTCATAACCCCGTAAAAATGTACTCTTCTCAAAAATAATAAAACCCCGTCAAAATGTGCCCCCTCAACAATTTTGAGAGCGCAACTTGCGCCATAAAACCCCCTTGTGGGCACCTCTGCCGGTAAGGATATTTTATAGATTATATAAGTATTGTCTTTGCATTTCAAAGGTTTGATCATTGCCATTTTTTAAATGCAATTGTAACCAATATTAAACTTATTGAACCTAAATGAATCCAGTGAAAAAGAAAGATAGTTTAACTGAACTACCAAAAGCAGTCTTCAGCAATACCGCACAGCAGGCATTGATTTGGACTATAAATAAAGTAATGCTGGAGTTATTTGCTTGCTAGTGGAACTGAAGGCCTGCTCGCCCAAACTTCTCTTCTGTACCCTACTGTAGATTTTACTAGGGCATTTTTCAGGTCACCAATTATTTATACAAAGGATGCTATATTACATTTCTCATATTTTGAAAGTCGTTTTTGTCCTAGTTCGGCGATCGGTTTCAATGTACATCCTGGGGAAATGAATTTTGACATTCCCACTCTGGTAATTACGCGGCTGCAACTTCAAGGTAGCCATCAGGGGTTGGCAAAAAGTACCACATGGCCCACTTCATATTTCATATCTAGGTAAGTGAAAGTAAAAAAGGATGCATTCAATATTACTTTTATTCTCATGCCAAAAAAGAAGCAGAAATTATTCATTTACTTCTTTTTATTGCTACAATGCCGGCGTTCTTTTGAACCGATTTAAACATGAATCCAATCCTCGCCATGCTCTACTACAAATATTATCGACTTTTTTTATCTGTATATTTAGTTTCTACAGTGTGCCACCTCGTATCGCTTCGCTTAGTCGGGTAAAAAAGAACAAAAAATACTTCAACAGATATAGAACATTTTTTTGATCGTTCAATAGTAGTAAACTATTGGATTTATGAAGTTTACGCCAATTTCAATTCTGTTAGACTATTGAAGATGTTCTAATTGCTTTGTCTTTTCCTAATTTGTGTAGTAATAGCAGTCGACGTCTTCCTTTTTTTAAGTATTCATAGAGTTGAATTGGTTTTTTCAAAGTACAGTCAATGCTTTCTCTACAGTCGCTCCACTTCTGTACCAAAGTATTGGCTACTTTAGGAGTAGCTGAGAAAATGTACTATAAAGAGCTCTTGCGAGTTGGGGCCCGTCCTAGACCTCGACATTGTAAGATCGGCAGTAGGTAGTAGGGGTAGCGGCTGGGTTCTGCACTCAGTCGTGCGAGGGATGTTGGCTTCGCTGTTCCTGCTCCTCTTGGTGCCGGGGTCCTGGCAGGGGAAGCCGATCAGGCCTCCATCGTTCCCCGGTCTCCCGACTGTAGTGAGTTTATTATAAATATCAACATGTCGAATGGAGAAAAATTTCATAAAACATTTGAGGAAGAGAAAATTATTACTAGTTTTATATTGAACCAATAAAATAATGTTTTATTTAACTTAATGACAATCATTAACAATAATTTTTATTAATTAGTAGCAGTTATCTATATTTTTGTACCAATTATTTAATACACATAATTAACGGGACAGAATATCTTACAAGGTAGATAATGAACGTGGGATTCGCGGTAGCAATGAAACCGTATTTATTTATACGAAAAATCACTCCCTCCAATAAAAAAAAAAAAGAAAAAGAATGCTAGGAGCTTTGTTATTTAGTATCTTAGAAATTAAGAATTTATGAGAAACCAAAATAAATATTAAAGAACAAATAAAAAAACAACATTACTTAAATATATATAAAAAAATTATCACTGATCATCTAAATTTAATTATTTGATTTTAATCTATATTATTTTTAATATTCCATTTTTAACTAATCTTGTGACCAAATTTATCAAAAACACCAATGAACTCGGTTCAAAATGTTCTTTTTTTTTCGTAGATCAAATTTTACAATAATTGTAATAGTATAAATTATGACTATTACAACTGATAAAAAACGTTCTAATGCATATCATTATCAGTATAAGAATACTGCAATGTCCTACTAATTCTATGAGAATAATAAGTCAGTATTCTACAATTGAGTGATCTCTTATTGAAGTTGAACATCTGTAATTTTTAGAATTTTGAGAAAAGCATATTTTCATTGCAAGGCTTAAATTTCAAGGATTTTTTTTCTCTCATAATCCAGTTTAAACATTGTTTATTAATTTCGTAAAGAATATAATATCAATGGGATTTGAAAATTTAGTCAAATTCGATTTGGATAATCGCTGGCGATTCTTCTGCAAGGTTTCGTGGTTTCAGGCCGAGATTGTTCCTTATCGTGGTTTTTCTAACCCAGTCTTGCGGATTTAGTCTTTAGTTTTCCGGAGGAATTTCATTTCCATGGGCTAGTTCTCCCTCTAGGGCCCTGGGGTTGAACTGAAGGTCTCTTTCATTCCTCCCAAACGCCACTATATCATCTGCAAATGCAAATACATTTAAATGGACAGCTTGTATGTTTCTATGCCCTATTTGGAAACCTCTCATCTTGTTCTTGACATTTTCAAGGTAGTATCTAATCTAACCAAACTGAACAAAAGTGAGCTAAGGCTGTATCCTTTGGAGCTCTTTTTATAGGTTCTTACGAAGTTTCTGCATTCAGCGAAGAGGCTTAATATTGCTTTCCCAGAGTCCAAGTGTCACCCCTTTTTCTCTTTTTAAATGTAGGAACAATTACGGAGACTTCCTGGTATCCTGGAATCTTCTTTTTTTTTCTTACCAAATCGAGAAGGTGCTGCAGCATTAAATTCCTTAACTTCTTAGTTTCCTAATCATTTCTGGTGTTATGCCATCATTTCCTGTTGCCTTTCCCATCTTAAGTATAGCTACAGCTTCCAGAATTTCGCCTTTATCCAAATAATGATCTTCCAGGACTTCATACTCGGTAAATGTATTTCTAGTTTGCTGAACTTCCTCTGTCCTTAGATCTGGTTCTAGCTACTCGCTGAAATATTTCTTTCAGCGTTCCATGACCTTTTCTGGATTTGATAGGATTGTAACATTCTTGTCTTTTATAAACTTCAGTACGAACTCTTATCCCTTCCTGACGGATTTCAAGGCCTTATAGAACATCTTTTGGTCGCCCTTGAAGTTTTCTTCCATTTTCTCTCCGTATTTCTCCCAGAAGTCTCTTTTGGCTTGGGTGACCATTGATTTCAACGTTTTCCTCTGCCTCTTGAAGACCTGGTAATCCTCCCGTGTTCCGCTGGCTAGGTATTTCATCCAGAGCTCTTTTTTTTTCTTAATTGCTTCTTTAACATGGTCCTGGTCACGGAACACAATGGTGTTCTTTTATTGCGCTCTTTAATCCTGTCCTTGCCGCAAATAGTTTATGCTGCTGTCACTAGCATAGAATTGAAGGCTTTCTATGAAGTTTCCAAGTCATCGCTGTCCCAAAAATTTTCTCATTTACCCATCATCTCTTATATTTTCTCTTGGAAACGATTAGCAACATTCTCTTCCCTGAGTTTGTACGCTTTGATTTTGAACGCATCTTGCGTATACCTTTTTCTTGGGCTCCTTCTGCGATAAAGACGTTCAGCTCAAGTAGATAATGATCGCTGCCCAATTCATACCATCGTTGAATTGTTATGTCCATAACATTCTCCTGTTTTCCAATCAATAATCAATTATTGAGGGTTCTTTTCTTATATTTATGAATGTCCTAGTGGGGGTAAAATGTGTTTGTCACTGAGAGATTATTTTCAAGAAAGAACAGATAATTCGTTCGCAACTATCAGTTATTACATCCTCTTCGTGGCGGTCCAATACTCCTTCTCACAATTTGCAGTCATTGCCCTCCCGGTCATTAAGGTCTTCCATGATTATTGGGGTGAATTTGCAGCTACCTAATTCTTCTTGTGACTTTTCGAAGAATTGTTCTTTATCAATATTACTGACGTCATTGTTTGGATCATATGCGATGGAGATGGTATATATTTCATGCTCTAAAGCACTAGCGGATCCAGGATTTAATTTTGGGAGGGCTTCAGCCCGAAATCTTTTTTTTCATAAAAATAACGATAATTACTTTGGAAAAACAGAAAGAAACTAACTACCTATATGAAATGGTGTTTAAGTTATTCCTTAAGTACTTTTAAATGTAATTACACGAACAATAATACTTTAAGAGGCATGTTTTAAACTTTTTTCGCCATAAAACATGGTTATATTTTTCCATTTTGGGGGGACTTCAGCCCGAAAGCCCTCCCTCCCCGTAGATTCGCCCGTGCTCTAAAGAGAGCTCCACTGTCATCAATCTACTGTTAATTGTCTGCCAGTTTTTAATGTTTGGGATATGATAACATATGTCCCTTAATAATAATAATAAGATAACTGAGAAATTCTTAAACTTAAATATATGGAATTCACTTTCCCTTTTAATTTAATAAATCTGTCTTTCGATGTTTTTTACTTTCATAAAATAACAGGCAATCATTACTAACGATTGAATCACATAATCAGAACTCGGCTATTCGATTGGTAGCTTGCTAAATGTCCACTTTTGAAATGAACTTACACTGCAGATGTCCGTTTTTGAAACGAACTTACACAGCTGTGTTCGTTTTTAGGTGAACTGTTAAGTTTAATACTACATTTTACTTAAGATTTTTTGAAATATAAACTGACTTTAAAATAAATACTATAAGAATCGACTAATAACTCAATTTTTATTTTGATGACAGATGTTTTTCTTTGATATGAAGCCACTATTTACAAATAAAGCCATTATTTACAAATAACGAAAGGGAATATGTGAGCCTCTTATTTCTTTGTTGTAAATGTACCAAGTTTGCAGGACCTATGGAAGCAAAAACCAGATAGCATGCCAATCCAGGCAGACTGATCTAGAAACATATATAATGGTTCTCAGCAGCTTTTTTAGACGATGTTCGTCTGATAACTAAAACACTTTATAATGCAAAATAAGTATGAAAAACAAAACAAAACAGCGTTATCTATCTTCGACTAGTAAAATAACAATTTTATGGTTGAGTATAACTTGTTTGTTTGCATGCACTGATAGTTTACGATTGTATTTACAATTTTTCAGAATGCTCTCTCATTCCTTTCTATAAATTTCTACAAATTTTAATTTCCAATTGTTTTGTTCAGATATTTTTAAGTCTATCCAAAGCACATATCCAAAAAATTGTAAAACTGTCTATATATATTTATTTTTAAATATCCAATATTATATTTTTTCGTTTCACAATAATTATGTTGAATTTGTTCACATGATATAAACTCCTGCCATTTTTTATAAATGGAAAGTCTGCGCCTATAATTGTTATTAAAATTATTTTTCGTCAATTTGTAAATCTCACCTTTTTTATATAAAAAGATTATTTATTAAACCCATTTTTATAAATTAAAACATTAGTTCAGTAATATTTTATTACCTTAATGCTACAGTATATAATTATGCACAATCAAGTTCACAGAAAAATACTCAATCTTAAAGTTAAGAAAGTAACAATGATAATGATTTAAATATACGTAAAACGTTATCATAAATTAACTTATTTTATAGTTAGAATAATGGTTTAATATATATTATATATTTTTGACGTGGCGTACAAAACAAATGTTGAAGTGTTATTACAAGATTTATTCATTTTTTATAAAAATTAATTTAATATAAGTAAAAATGTTAAAGTCTGGCAAGTAAGGCCAGTAGAGCTTCCAAGCAATTTTCATTGGTTATACAATCACTGGCCGTTTTTTAAAATGTTTTTTATTGGTTCCAATTTGTTTGTATATGTGATCTAAATTAAACATTTAAACAATCATATTGTATTGTCTTTTTAAATTATAACGCAAACACAGTTACTAAATGAGTGCACCTGTAAAGAAAAATTAAAGAGATTTATCTCTTAAAGCATTAACGTTAGGTTAATTACTGTTTTTCCTCTTCAAGGAGCACTTAAACATCATTTAATATAGTTGGTTTTCTTGTTTTTCTTCCAGAGTAATACGCTTAAAAAAAAAAAATTTAAATCCTGAATCTGCTACTGATTCTCAGGATTGTATGTTTGTACATATTAAACATACATGTATATTGCGTATGGTGTTCACTCATAAAATGGATGGAACACAAATCTTTTGAGAAAAATCTATTTTTGTTTGTTAGCCGTTTACGAAACAGACATTTTCCATCAATTAGAACAAAGCAAATTTAAGAAGCAATGTAAGAATATTAATGAAGTCTACAAATTATAGAATAGAATAGAATTGAAAAGAAACTTTATTCTGGGACTAAGTCTCCTCATAATAATGATGAACAAATAAAAAAATACATATCTGACCAAAAACTAATAAAAATTCTAA